CCCCCAACTGCCCGCTTTGATGGACCCGAATGACTTCTAAGATACTGTCCAACAATCACCTTCACGCACGAACCAGACTCTTACCTCAGAACATCCAACGACAAAAATTCACCGAGGATATGGTGACATGGTGACAGCCATGCGAGTCTCATGCTCGAGACCCGAACAAGGCTGATGCAGCCATTGTCAACACGGCGGAGACCGATACGCTTGAGCCATAAGCTCACACATCCGTAGGTACGGTAACATCGACGGGCACCCCGAGTATTTCATTCGTGGAGCTTGGTGAGCTTGATTCCCTTGACAAGATCCTCCTCGTGTACTCAGATTTGCTAGCGAGGGTGGTCTGGGAGGACTTCCCGGTCCAAATGGATCGCCTGAGAAACAAACATCTAGAGAGGCTCCTTTGACCGTATGTCTGTGACGTGAGGTTAGATGCATGAAGCTTGACACGACAGAGCAGGGCGTCACTCTCAAAATGAAAGGCAGGAAAAAGATTGAGCTCGGACGACATGGACAGCCATTGCTGGGTATGTCCACGGCATGGGAAACCCATCATCTCAGATTTGAGCATCAACTTGCCTGCCTTGTGCGGTGATGTCGACTCTTGCGAGTAGATGGCATTTTGAATCTGCTCGTCTAGGGGGTGACAGAAAAGCTTGCCCACGCAAATGTGCCGACCGATAAGCGGAGTTTTCGACAGGTACGGGGCTCCAACTAGGCCTCCTTAGCCTCCCCAGCCGTCACGGCAAGCCTAACAATCAGGACTAGGGGCCCCCATAACCCCTCAGCCGCCCATAAAGTTTATGGTGTGAGCAGCACGGTTCAGGGGCTTCAGGCCTAGGCCCTAAGCAGGTGGCCAGGAGCTTAGGTCTCAGCCAGCCTCCAATTGATTACCTACCTTGCCTACGGTAGTCGCCAAGCATGCATTTCCTTCCTGCATCATCAACACCATCAGCATCAGCATCAGCAGCCATGTTCTGCATCAACTAAAGCACCAGAAGGGAATGTTTGTCGCCTCGATCTCTTCTCAGTATGCCTCTGTCCGACTGAACGCCGCGCCCTCCCCTCCTCATGAGCCTTGTCAACTCTCGAACGAGACAGGGTCTGAAAGGACGGGGCTCTTAATTGTGGCAACAAGCAGAAACAGGAGGAAACGTCAAATGTCAGTAGACTTTAAGGTCCGCCATGATGGATCCTGCCACAGTAAGGACCTAAGGACCTTGCGGATCTGATCGCGCCTCAAGTCTTTCGTACTACAGTGTACTGAGGGACTCAGTACTGTACCTCACCAAGGTTGAATGCCAGATCTGCGCCATCACGGATCTACCACGGTATACTCGGCAAGGATCCCCGATGATTTTGCCGAACGACGCGTCGCCCAGGGGGACAATGCGTGACAGATGTCGAAACTATAGCAAAACCAGTCACTCTTCTGCTCGTCGGTCCACCAACAACGTCCTGTTCTTCTCTCGGCCCAGTCTACCAATCGATCTTCCCATAGGAAGCCACGAGACTGGTCGGGGAGGGCTATTCAATCAAGCTTCAAGCTCCTGATGAGTTACAGAGGTAAGTACTCTGTACTTCGTGTAGAGAGGCCAATCTATGGGGGTCCGTACTTCTCCTCCTTACCCGCCCCGTTATCAGGTGGGCCAGACCCATCTTCCGATGAATTGATTTACCTGACGAACTGACTCCCTGGTTGCAACGCCGGTTGGGGATATTATTGCGATGCAAAGGTAAGTCCAGCATTCAATCAGGGCTCCATACCTGTCGACCCCATCTCTGAGCCGATGTTCGATGTGGCGGACTGACACGACGCCGGTCATGGTAAGCTTTTCGAGGCCCAAGTTTGTTCGGCGGACGCGACGTCTGCGTCGAATGTCACGGACCAGCGTCAATGCTTTGACAGCGCACCGGGCGCTCCTTCAGCCATGACTACAGGCGATATCCCCAATTCTGCTTAACCTGGTGAAGTACATGAACGTCCAGACAGGGCGAGTCCTCACATGAATCGTGTTCTCGATGCCTTCCTCCTTCCCTCGTCGTCACTTCTCAACCCTGGCGTGCTGTCATGAATTCAGTGAATGACGAGAACGTCAACATGCCCTTCGCACATATATCGGAAAAGGGTCCTCTGTCGGTGAATCAGATCCTCAGTAACAAGATGCGGCCTTTCTTGACGAGGCGGATATTGATCGCATGCACATCGCTTTTGGTTCTGTCTCTATTGTTTCATCATAGTTATTATCTGCGCGAGCACGATGTAAGTTATTGCTCCCGACTCTCTGGCTCGAGAATATACTGGGTATTGACGATTTACAGCCATTAATATCCTCCAGAGTCGATTTATCGCCTCACCTCGAGCCCGAAGGTGGTAAGAACTACGAGGGACGGGGCCTGTTCAAGCCTCTATGGATCGATGGATATGACAATACTGGGATACCAGGAGGGGAATATCTTGGGCGGAACCTGTCATGTCCTTCATTGGCGCATTCGGCCCAGATCGGGGTGCAAGATTCTTTCTTCCTACACGACAACTTCCTTGAGATTGCCGGGGAGTTGGATTCGCACCCCATGATCGACTATGTGCCCGCCATAGCCAAACTGGGCGATGGCCCGTTTACCTTGGACAAGATGTTGGATTCTTCCTGGGATCGCCTCGCCACAGCTTGCATCTGGATGCCTGATCACAACGTCCATCTGTGCGTGTCGAGGATCATATTCCACCCGGGTGGCCGCAAAGACCGGTGTCGTATCAGCTTTCTGAGAGGACAAATTTACAGCGAATCCTGGATACACCTCGATCGATACAAGCTGAAATGGAAAGACCAAGAAATCACCTTTCCCAAAGTGTTTGACACGGATACCGAATTCAAGCTCGGTGGGGCGCTTTACGGTCCTGAAGATGCACGGATCATCATAGAAGAGGGCGTCGACGACGCCGAACCAGTGGTTGTGTTCAACATGATCACAAGTCACTCCGACTGGAAGCGAGCCATGTGGGTTTTCCGCCCATTCTCAGAACAGTCCCGCATCCTCACCGTGCGAGGAACTGAACGGCCGAAGAAAGAAAAGAACTGGGCGCCCTTCTTCGTGAGGGAGCTGGAAGGAGCGTCCAACGCGACGTTGCAACGCCAGCCAAGCACATACATTCATTTCATCTGGCGATTCGAGCCGTTGACCGTTCTGAAATGCCATCTCTCGACGGGCATGTGCGATGTGGTCTTTGAACAGGCCGTCCTACCAGCACTCTCCAGCCAACATGACGATCATGACGGCAGCCTCCGCGGTGGGACACAGCTCGTGCCTATTCCGCTCTCCAAGCTGAAGAGGGATTCTCCATTCGGCTCACCAAACGTCCAAGCCTTTGTTTCCTTTCCCAGGACACATGTCGAAAAGGCTGGCGGCTGTAGGCAGGCCGTCTATCGACCAGAGTTGGCCGTGCTGGTCACCAATACTACCCACTTCTATCTGACATATGCGTCTGAAGCCTTGGACTTCAGTGAGGGCATCGTCATGGACGCCGCTGCTCTGGCCGACCCTTGCGGTAAAGGTCGGATTATGATCACCAACAGTATTGCTCGGTGGGATCTCAATGGGCGAGACTCTAACGGCAAGCCAATGGATGTCATGACTTTGAGTCTATCAGTTGATGATGCCACCGTCCAAGTATTGATGGTGGCCGGCATTTGGGACCTCTTACGCGGTTTGCCGTCCCTTGCCACTTATTTCGAACAAAAGAAGGTGGACACCATTGATGGATTCCCTGCTGTCAGTGATGTCGGAGACAGCGAATATTCGCCGCTCCTTGAACCCTTCGCACCTTACGAACGAGCAAATGCCGTTGGGTGGGATGTCCGCGCGTGCCTGGAAGAATCTGCTCTGAGATATGTCAATGCTCGTGTGGATTCAGTCAAGCAAGCCCAGGAGAAAGAGAAAGAGCTGCAAAGAATAAAAGCCGAGCAGGAGAAGAAAAAGGCCGAGGAGGAGAAGAAGAAGGCTGAAGAGGAGAATAAAAAGGCTGAAGACGACAAGAAAATGGCCGAAGAAGAGAAGAAGAAGGCCGAGGACGACAAGAAGAAGACCGAAGAAGAGAATAAAAAGGCTGCCCAACATGCTGATGAAGATAAAAAGAAAGCCGATGCTAAGAAGGTACAGGAGCAGAAGGCGCTTGAGGAAAAGGTTGCTCAAGAAAAGAAGAAGGCCGAGGACAACAAAAAGGTCGAGGAAGATCCGAAAAAGGAGCCCGACGATAAAGCGCAGCATGTCACCGATAAAACGCCAGCGGCATGAAAAGCGCCTTCAGCAAGGTCACAGCTGTGATATTCTGTTTCTATTTTGCTGGTTCGCCTCGACGATCCGACTGATTGGACGCATGGGGACACCGAACCTCACGAGCGTGTAACGACTTCACACACGACTACCACGGGAAGGCCGGATGGACTTGATGTGTGACGACAGATAGATGCATAGACGGATGGATGCAATCGGGTTGAGACAGACCCAGCGGGTGGTCTTTTTTTTCTCTCAAGCGTTGAGCATTTTGACTATATACCAGAGTCTATTCACTTATTTTGAGATGGCCAGTGACATGAATATGAATGTATATGACTCTGAGAAGAGACATGCCTATGATCTATCCTATTTGATCGAGATCAGGGACCCTTTATGGTAACATCAATCGCAGGGTGAGAAGACGAATAGACCATTTATTCCACGAGTGCTAAGTGACTAATATCCTACTCTTTCGGGAGCCTTGCTCGTACAGACTCAAGGCTGTGATTAAAATACTAGTACACGAACAGCACTGTGAATTGATTTAGATCGACTGTGCACTATTTGATGGATTTGTTGCTTGCCTGCTCAAAACGCATAATACAAACATATAGACACAGGTAATCACTTTGGAAAACCCAATCTGCAATACATGCAAAGTTGCTCCTCAGTGTCGCTCAGGACTGTCCTGGCATTCGAGGGAGTCACTCGAAGTGACTGGCTCTCAAAGTGTACGTGATCAGGCTGAATCCTGACTCTCAGGCCGGTTTGAACCCATTGCTGCACTGGCATGGGACCAGTCCAGACAACCCGAATTCGAATACCACAATGGCTGGACTGGTCCGACCATATGCCAGACGAGCGAGAGACACCTGGACCTCTCAGCCTGGGAAAGGGGTCGGTATGCCAGCCGCTATGGACAGGTTGGGTTGAGGTACAACCATGTCGAAGAGGCACAATGGTCGGACACAACCGTGACAGTGCGGCCTCTCTCCAGAACGTTTTCTGACAGCGTTGTATCAGCTTGCGAGAGAGGTCAGAACAGGTGTTTTGTCGACCTTTGGTGCTTCGTGTCCAAACATGCACTGAGGGCACTGCTGTAAGCGTCGAAGCGATCAAAGAGTCCCGAGTCTCATGATGCTTGCCAACTAGCCTAGCCTTGTGCCCAAGTCAAGAACCTTTCTCTCCCTCTTTCTTCTCCTTCTCCTTTTCTTTTTCCTGTTCCTTCGCCTTCTCCTTCTCAGCAGCAGCCTTCCTTTCGGCCTCCTCCGTAGCGGCCCGATCAGGGGCATACCAACTCCTCCCGAAATGATGCTGGACATATTTCTCCCCATACGCGGGATCGCCAGCATGACTGTGTTTCTGACTACCGGCGAATCCATTGATGGGCAGGATCAAGACATCCCCAAACAACTTGGGCTGCTTCTGCTCGTGGAGCGTCTCCCAGGTGACATTCTGCCCTTGTTCCTGCAAGACGTGCATGACCACATCCGTGATCATGCCGGGTCCCGTGGCCTCCAGCACCTCCATCTTGTCCAGCGTCAGTTCGGCCAGGGTCACCCGTTTCCGTCGCGCGATGTACTGCAGAGTGCCGATGACGCGCTGCACGGCCAGCTCGAAAATCGGGTGGCCCGGCTTCGACATCAACGTCCACTGGCACAGGCCGATGGGCCGCACGAACATCGGGTATGTGTGGTCGTCGTATTCGATCCCGACGATCGCGTTGACCGTGCTGGCGCCCAGGTCGATCGGGATCCAGCGGTCCGGGTGGACCAGCATGGACGTGTCGATGTCGCTGTAGACGCCGCCGGCGGCGAGCATGATCAGATAACGGAGCAGATCGGCTTTGATCACAGGCACACTGAGTTCGTCCCAGAAATTGACGATTGCCTGGCGCGAGGCGAAGCTGTCATGGACAAATTCGGTGGCTTCGTCGTCTGGAGAGGAGGTAAAATTAGCTTTGTTCCTCTATTGGATAGTGTCAAGAGTGATTGAATGGGATAGATGGTTGGCTAATGGTGAAGCGCAAAGGTTGGTATACACCCAGGTGTTGTGTGCCTTGCAGCATCGTGGTCGACTCACCATTCAAGAAATTATATTGGAACCCTTGGACTTTCTTCCACGTCTCAGCCTTGTCGGCGTACTGCTCCCGGCCCTGTTCGCTGGCCGTCTGCCACACGATCCTGGGGAAGCGGGACGGATACTCCTTCGGAGGCACAAATGCCGACTCGAGCGCCACTGCCAGGTGTTGGCTTTCGTCGGCTTCGTCCATCCCAATGCGCGGTCGTGAAGCCTCGACATTGGAATGTGATGTTTTGCTCGTCGGCAGGTGTGACCACACGTCGACCCTGGACGTGTGGAGTGACCAGTAGAGAATGCATATGACGATGATGGTTGCTGCCCAGTAGCGAGTGATGTGGCCCTTGGAGGGCATTGTGAATTGAGGTGTGAGGAGTGTGAGTTTGACAGAAGCCTGATATCGGTGGACAGACAAAGACTATGTTGTGGTACACAACGACGAAAGCCAATCCCCCGAGGATGGTATGTAAAACCCAATCGTGGATGACAAGGCTGGAAGGATCTGGCCCCGGTTGTCGGTTGCAAGATATTTGTCTCGAAGGCCTGGTATGTGTGTAAAAAAGCGGACGAGGCTGTGGTAACAATAATGCCAAATAAGGGCGCCAGCCAGTCCAGCCAGACACTCTTGGAGGATAAACCACAGGATGGCGCAGGTCGTGTCTCTCTCTGTCTGTGTCCCCCAATTGTCTGGTAGCCGCCACTCGGACTGCTAATGTTTGTCCAAGTGTCTGCGACCGAAGCGACGACCCTGGCCTTGATGTTCGTTCTTCGCAAAGACGGGGACTACGATCAACCAAGGAGGCAGACTGCAGACGGCAGCAAGCTGGCAAAAGTACACAACTCTCTCGCGCGACCTTGGCACAGCACAAACAAGATTGTCGCAAGAAAGACCCAGGCCAGACAAGACAGTACGGAATAAACAATAACAGCCTTCCCTGCAAAAGTCCAGGCTTCAGGGGCAGGTGATATCGTAAGTCGCACAGCGCCACACAGCACCGCTGTACACCGTTGATGACAGGTCAAAAAGTCCCGTTCACACGGGACGTTGGACAGCGGAGACACGCCTGCAGTAGAGTAGTCAAAAGGTACTTGGCGGTCCTCTGTACATCTAGATACCTGACTCCCAGGTAAGGTAAGTATCTCGTATCCTGGGTTTCCTCCGCGGTGCTTAGTCCCGTAAGGCTAACGCGGGGCACGAAGACGCGGTCTCGACTCTCGAATGGCCAGTACGTAGTATTCTGTACATCGTGTATCGAAGGGACTTTAACGTCTCAGACCTTACCACACGCCGAAGGGGGTGGGAGGGTATCCACCACGCAAACAGGCGAGGACTTCCAGCGCTCTCTCTTATCGTGATGACTGTCTGTCAGGAAAAAGGGTGGCCTTGGTGCCACCCGTTGCATAGCATTATTGAGTAGTGGACCTGTCAAAAAGCCTGTCAGTCTTGTCCGTGCGCGCGGGCTCTCTGTACAGAAGTAGGAAAAGGGGTTATAGTTTTTGCAATGTCGAGGACTTGGTTCGACGGCTGGAGCGAAAATGAGGCAGACTCCCTATAGAGGTGCAAAGAGTGATCGGACTGAAAAACAAGAAATCGAAGCCGCATAGAGAGAGACACGAAGTAGAGAACGACTCGCATGCCATTGTGGCCAAATCCAGATATGGATCCTTCTTTCGGCAGGATCTTGCGGAGTCTCGAGCACGGAGACACGATTCTCCATTGTGGATGTCGAAAATGGGTCAGTTCCCATAACGCTAACCGCTTATGGAATTGACAGCCTCGTCTGACAGGCGTGGGAGGCGCCAGGGAGGCAGTCGACGCCCCCAAGGCTGTCCTGCCACTGGTTAGTCGTTCTCATCATTTGCCTCTGACTCCTGAAACAGTGAACACTGCACGGCCAGCCAGCCATGATTATCAGTTTTTGTTAGTTCTTTACCAGCCAACTGTGCCATAGTCCTGTGGTAACACGTTATTTCTCGTGGACTACGCGAAAGAGAGTATAGCGAGTGACCAGTCAACTTTCTACCTTGTTCGTTCCTTTACGTCCTTGACGTCGGGAACCGATCCACCTCTCTTCCGGCCTCTCATGCCCACGCACTCTCTCCTTTGAGGCTCGAGCTCAACCACGAGGACCCTGGAAACGCATACGTACCCAGCCTCTAGTAGATCCCCTGTAATAATGCTTCTCTTCCGTTCTCACCAGCGTGCAGTTCTTCGCGCGACGACGACATTGTCACAGTCTTTGGACGAGGATCGGAAGGTCGAATCCCCTGTATACACTTGACTCACCATGACGACTCTCAACCTCTGACGACTAAACATACTCCTATGACGAGACGAGAATTCGAGATTCCTCCTGCGGTGTACCGGACGCGAACACCTCGCACTTCGCACAATCGATAGACATATATGAATTAATGACCTCGCACCGACGTTGACACAAAATGATCACCCTCGGCAGCCTCGTAGGCAAAACGAACATCAAAATCATCAGCATCGTCACAACCCTGCTGTTTATGAGCACCGTGATCACAGACTTCGTCGGGCGATTAGGACAGCACAGCACAGAGGCCGTGGATGGCCAAAGCAGGTCGGGTCCCGTGCGGTCCAGCATCGGAAAGCTTTCCATGCTTTATGGCGAACCCAATCCTCTTTACGAACGAGCGTTGGCAGGCCATCTGCCGCATAACAAGAATTTCGGATATAGCATGTACGTGCTGAGAGAGAAGACGCTGCCAGGGTATTGGTCGAAGCCGGCATACATCCTGGATCAACTGCTTGCAGAGCTTGCGCTGCCAGAGGAAAAGCGGTTGAAATGGCTGGTGTGAGTGTGCACCTTCTGTACGGCGCTTGTGGGACGCGGATCGCTAATAATACTGTTATCTGGACAGCTGGTTCGACGGCGATACTGTTCTGATGAACCCCAAAATCCCACTGGAGATCTTCCTCCCGCCGGACGATGGCTGGAGCCATGTCCACGCCCTGGTGACCAATGACCACCGAGGGCTCAACAACGGCGTCTTCTTTTTGCGAGTGCACGAGTGGTCAGTGTGGCTTATGACGGCGTGTCTGGGGACCGAGATCTTTGATCCGGAGATTGACCTGGAGTTTGGCGATCAGTCGGCGATGGGAATGTGGCTCAAAAAGGTGAGTTCATCGATTGTATACAGTCGAAGATCTCCGTGTTGACAAGGCTCTCTCTCTCTCAACAGGAACGCTTCCGCAACAACACGATGCATGTCCCGCAGAGGTGGTTCAATGCCTATGCGGGATACCGAGGCGAGACCAACGGGCTTTTCGCCGATCCTCTGGCGCCCCAGACCAAAGTTAGAGCCAATTCCATCAAAGAAGGCGATCTTCTCGTCCACCATGCAGGCCACAAGTCCCTGCGGGCGCAACGGATGGCGCCGTGGATGGATATCGCTGAACAACACCTCCCGCAATGGGAGCTGAACCTGGACGAGACGACATACGAGCAAGAGATCCGAGATTTCTGGAAAAAGGAGGCCCCTAAGGAGAGAAAACGGGTGGACGACATGATCAAGAACGAAGACAAGAAAGCGCAGGAAAAGGCTAAACAGAAGGAGGCCGATGCGCACAAAAAGGAGGAGGAATCAAAGAAGAAACAGGACGACGTCCGGAAGGCTGAAGACCTGAAAAAGAAGGAGGAAGAGTCGAAAAAAGCAGATGAGGCTAAAAGGAAGGAAGAGGAGGCCACAAAGCCCGACGAAGCAAAGACCAAAGAGGCAGCAAAGAAAGCGGATGGTGACAAGTAAAATGGTTTGACTTTGACTCGGGACAGGGTCGACGGTAACGAGTGATGACTTGTAGAAGTATTCTTGTTTGGATATATATTGATATCCTCTGCTCAAGCTATCATCCACGGTCATTGGCATTTGCAAAGCCTTCCAGTGCCGCAACAAAGATATCAGCCCTGAGCACCTACGTGCCTTGCTTCTTCCGTGTCCTAGGTGAAGGAACGATCAATGACCAATGTCTCCGAATAGAGATGAATTCTGATATCAGACATGGAAGGAGTCATGGTCAAGTGGCTCTCGCAACGATCATTTTGACCAAAGCTGTCTTGACATTCTTGCAGCATCTAACAGAAGTACATCGATTGCCAGACGAGCCGATGGAGCGAAGACATGGCATTCATTCAATCACTCATTCATTCATTCTCATCGCAACCAAATGCCATCAGGTCCATGATGCCCGACTATTTTCTTGGCCATATGTCTTCCCGACACGAGGTATCGTTGAAAGCTGGAAAGTTTTGACACATTGACATGACCTGGACCACCCTGGTACTTTAAATGTCATGGCATGGGACGGTGATGGTACATGTGAGTAAATATCTTGGAGAGTAAACACCAACTGCCTCCTTTCATGCAACCCCCTTTGAGTCAATTTTTAAGATTGAAGCCCGGCAGATTGACAGGGGTAGGGATGTGAGTGGCCTAGGGTCTTCACTGGCTTGTGGTTCCCTCCCATGTCTCACCAATGCACTAATAGAGGCCCTCGCTTGATTGAACGCTCACGGCTGAAGAACAGGCTCCCCAAGCCCCTTGAGGCCCAATAACAACGGGGTTTTGACGAGGTGAAGGGCCAATAAGTGCCAGCTTGGGGCCCAGCACGGTACGTACATATTTTCTCCCACCCATCTTCGAAAACAAAGTGCCACAGAAAGGGGATCTTAGCGAGATTGACCAGGCCCGATGGGAAAAGCCGGCTCCAAGTACCCAATGGTCGACCATTCCTTGAGTTCTTTTGGTATGTTGGTGTCCTCCATTTCGGAGAATCGACCAGGGTTCGCATACACAAGATCCAAGAACAGCCACGTCGAATGCTAATAAACACATGGACACGTCGCTTCGCTCACTGATCGAATACCTGGCTCTCAGCCTCCCAACCAGGAGGAAGAAGATACAGCCGACTCGGCTACTGCTAGGCTTTCGCTAAAGCCAAACCCCTCTCGGGTTCCTGCGTCCGGTTTCATCCTGAATGTTTCCAGCTCGCCAGCTAGATCCAAGGCTTCCAGGGCTGGAATCCGCCTGACAGGACCGGACCCGGGTGTAGCAAACTGCCACCGGGATCGTTAGGGCCAACCCCCTCCCTCCCTGGACGCATCCTAGGGATCCCCATCATCCACAAGCACGCGACTCACGAAACTCCATCCAGATCATAACAGATCGGCCACTGTCCAAACATCAAGAACGCTCTCAGTGCACAGCACGAATCCAGGGCATGCTTCACATAAACCTTGTCGTTCAACGGGTTCAACCCTTGGCTCACGTATACATATACACATACATAACTCGATATCACGGGCAGCCTGACCCCCAACCCTAACCGGAAGACGCGGGGGCCCCTCAGGCTTAGGCCATTTTACTTGGATATCTCCTCTTGGTCGCCTCCAAACTGACGTGCAGCAGACTCCTTGATTTATTGACTGGGCTCGGCAAGCTAAGGATTTGCTCGTGTTCAATTCTGTCTTATTTGATCCAGGCGACCTGCCCATCAAGCCCATCAAGAATCAGGGGCCATGATCCAGCACCATCATTCTCGCCCAGGCAGAAAACAAGAAGACATCAAGTAATAATTGAGTGAACGTGTGCTACCGGTTCACACCTGTATGAAACGGCTATTGGCCCTCGACAACCCCCCCTTGCATTCCTCCAGGCTCCGTGCACCGGGCACCGCCCATCCATAACTGTCTCCTAGTGTCTGTCCACCTCCCTTGGGTGACTGACTGACTGGTCAGGTGCCGTTCAATTGCGGGCAGGCCAGGACACATCTCTTATTAAACCCTTAGGTTCTGCGAATTGAGGATCCATCTGTGGGCACGGCCGGACTTTGGGTTGGGGTTGTTTGCATTCCACCGCCCTCTGTTGCGTCGAACTTCTGCTGCTGTTGATGTGGCGCTGACGCACTCTTTTTCTTGTTCTCACCCGCCATTTTTCCCTTGTCCATCAACAAGAGGCAGAGCGAAAGGAAGACTGCTACACGTCGGACGGGAGGCAGAAGATGGCGGAGCAGCAACACCCACAGCATGACGAGCCGTACCTCGACGTGGAAGAAGACACCAGCGAACACGCGCCACTGAACCCCGGCAGCTCTGGGACAGGCTCGTCGGGGCTGCTGGTCGGTCCCTTGTCATCCTTGTCGACCTCGTCGCCTTCACTATCAGTAAAGACGCCAGTATGGTACGACCTTTCGACAGTGCGAAGGACTTACGGGCAATTCGAAGTGTTGGGCAGCGTGAAGCGCTTCTTCTATGCTCTGATCCCCAGCTGGATCACGACCCACTCGGCCACCACGCCTTCGAAATCCGGGATATCAGCACTTGACGGCCTCCGCGGGCTCGCATGTCTGTTCGTGTTCAATGAACACTACGTGATCTGCTATCAGTCTCGCGAGACCCAGGTGTGGCTCATGCGAGTCCCCTTCATCCGACTGCTATGGTACGGCAAGGCGGCGGTCTTTTTGTTCTTTGTCATCTCAGGCTACGTCCTGAGCGTCAAACCACTGAGGTTAATGCGGGCGAAATCCTATCTGGACTTCCACAAGACCATCTCGTCGAGTTTCCTGCGCCGTGGGATCCGGCTGTACTTGCCATGCATGATTGTGAGCCTGGTGGCCTGCGTCTTGACCTACATGGGGTTTTTCGACCGCGCGAGCGAGAACTACTTCCAATACCGCAACTTTGTCTTCCTCAAGGAGCAGCCGCCGCCGCATATGCCGACATTCCGCGAACAGTTTGCGGGATACATGACCAACGTCGACTTCATTTTCAGCGCCACCCTCCCCTTCGACAGGGACACTGATGTTTTGCACTACTTCATGTACGACGACCACCAGTGGACCATCCCCAAGGAGTTCCGCAGCAGCATGGCCGTCTTCGCCGTGCTGGTAACCACATCACGCATGCGTGCGCCCTTCCGACTGTTTACCGTGGCCTCGTTGGGCGTGTATGCGGTACAGACGCTGCGGCTGTATACGTCGCTGTTCATGGCGGGCATCGTGTGTGCCGAGATCGACCTGATCCGTCAGGCATACTATGCACGCTGCAAAGAGACGCTTCCAGACTACACAGACGCGGAAAAATCCTCGTCAATGCGCTCCCGCTACAAGGGACTCGAGGCGCTGATGCACCTGCCGGACCTCTTCTACAAAGCCATGTGGATCACACTGTTCACCCTGGGCGTCTTCATGATCTCGTCTCCCCAAGAAATCCAGCGCACCCCGAACTACCTGCCCGCGCTGTTCGCCCGCTGGGGGGTCCGGGACGTCGACAACACACTGTTACTCATCGGGTCGATCATGGTGGTCTGGAGCACCGCGGCGTGTGCGTCTCTCGGCCCGTTGTTCAACAACCCGTTCATCACGTACCTGGGCAAGATCTCGTACGCGCTGTACCTGATGCACGGCACGGTGATCAAATCGCTCGGCTACAACGTCCTCCCCTGGACCCTGTACATGGCCACCTGGACCCCCTGGGAGGTCGAGCTGGATGTCGACTGGTGGCACGGCGTCTCTTCCAGCCAAAAAGTCCTGGCCTACGCCCTGGGCCTGTGTTTTGTCGCCACCGCCTGTTTCTGGGTCTCCGACCTGTTCTGGCGCTTCGTCGACATCCCCAGTGTCTCGTTCGCCCGCTTCGTCGAGACCTGGGTCACCAAGGGCGCCGACGACCCCGCGCCCCTCGATGACCCGCTGCCGGGATTCGCGCTGGGGTCGTCGGGTTTCAACGACTCCTACAACCATCACTCCGCCTTCGACTACCGTCGTGCCCGGGCCTCCAGCTCGGCCGGTCCAGGCCACCTGCGAAATGCGAGCCACATCAGCGGCATTTCCGGCCAACAGGACGGAGGAGGGCCGAAACGCAAGAACGGATGAAGCTGCTAAAAACAAAAACAAAAAGGTTTGCGCTGGGAGCTTATGGGGAAAGGGATGGATAAGCCACTATGGCGAACGATGGGCCTCCAGCTCACCTACCTCAGAGCTCCTCAGGAGGATCAAAGCCTACTAAAGGAGGAATAACGCAACAAGCAGGAACAAAGAAGACAAGGACACGTTCCAGGGTCGTTTGGGTTTCGGTATAGCATCGCACGGCATTGCATTTTTGACCGCTACAGCTACAGCTACAGCTACAGCTAGCTGCAGTCTTTTCTTTTTCTTTTTCTTCTCTTATCTCTTTCCAGACCTTTTCTATTTCTTCTCTCTGGAATGAAATAACACATTTCCACAAGTATCTCTTACTGACTGTTTTCCTGCTGTACTTGTGTGCATCGCGTCTGCCTATGGGGGTTGGTCCATGGGTTGGCCCAAGGCAAGGCAATGCAAATGAAACTGCAAGCGAAATGACGACCAACTATGGGTTCGGGTTGTCGAACATCGACTTCCTCTGGAGGGCTGTCTAAGACATTTAATTTCCCTATCTCGAACAGAGTTTGTGTTGTTATTCTTTTTGATGCTATTCTGCTATTCTGCTCTATTTTTGTCACGGGATTTCTCATCGAGGGCCCCCATTCTCCTCTAGATCATCAAACCTGACTTGAATACCGCCCTCCGACGACATCTCAGCACAACCAATCTTCCCTACGATTCTTTCTTTCTTGCTTTCTTTCATCAGCGACGAACTCTGGCTGTGCTGGGGCAGAGCAGAAACCTCGAAACCTGACCCCCAAGTTGGCATACCACTTGCCGCTTTAGTTTTACATCATGTGACCTTGATCCACTTTGGCTCAGCGTCGGTCTGATTGGCTCCACTACTCATGAGACCTGGTTGTGTTTACCAAATGCCGACTACGACTTCATCCCCTTCCGCTCCTAGACCCTGTGATCCTTGCAACGAGAATTCACCCATTTACCCCGTGCCTGCCGGATCGGAGAACCCATATTACCCCACATTCGCCGAGTACATGGTGTCTGGGGACAACTGGCCATGCCAAAGAATTGGAAGCTATATGCCGGACGCTTTGTCCAGTAGCACAGAAATTATATACCACCACATGACATTGGTGCAACAGTCCATCTTACCGGCAATATGACATCGACAACGAAACCGTGGGTGGTCATTGTCGGGGCAGGCCCTTCCGGGCTCCTTCTAGGACTTATGCTGGCGAAGAAAGGCATCCCAGTCCAAGTCCTCGACGCGGCGCACAAATTGGACGAACAACCCAGAGCTACTCACTACTCGCCACCCGCCATATATGAACTACGCCGAGCAGGAGTGGTCGACGACCTCCGTGCTGCCGGGTTTTCTCCCAACGGCGTGGCCTGGAGAAAGCTGGACGGAACGTTCCTCGCAGGGATTGACGGCACCATTGAAGGCGACGATCCAGACCGAATGCTATGTCTGCCGCTAAACAAACTTGGTAGAATCCTCTACGATCATCTCAGTCGTCAACCGTCAGCGACGGTGTCCTGGAGCCATAAGGTCGTCTCCCTCGGCCAGGACGAGGAGAAAGCGTGGGTCCACGTCGAAACGCCACAAGGGAAGAAGACTCTGGAGGCTCCGTACATCGTTGGTTGTGATGGCGCCAACAGTCAGATCCGCCGGTCTTTGTTTGGCGACAAGGAGTTCCCAGGCAAGACATGGGATGAACAGATTGTTGCTACCAATGTAAGCTCTCGCCCGCCGCCATAGCAAAGGGAAGTCTGTGCTGGCCTGGGCCCAGATGCAGTATACTCCCTGCAGGCTGCTGACACATACATGTTTCCTCCCAGACGTACTATGACTTCTCCAGATTCGGGTGGTACGACACAAACTTCATCATCCATCCCGAGCATTGGTTCATGGCCGCCAAAATTGCCAAGGACGGCCTGTATCGCATCACATACGGCGAACTTCCGGGTCTAACATACGAGCAACTCCGAGAACGACAGCCGTGGAAGTTTGAGACCATGCTGCCCGGTCATCCAAAGTCTGACGAGTACCGCATCGTCAATTTCAGCCCTTACCGGATCCACCAGCGACTGGCTCCCAGCATGCGTGTCGGGCGATTCTGTCTGGCCGCAGATGCAGCTCACTGTAAGTATAACACAACATCACGAACAAGTCAGAAGTTGGGGGCCTCTGTCTGACATTTGCAACATAGTATGTAACCCGTTCGGTGGCCTGGGGCTGACAGGTGGAATCGTCGACATTGGCGGTCTGTATGACTGTCTGGCCGGGATCTACGAGGGCCTCGCAGACCCTTCGATACTGGACAAGTACTCGGAGATCCGACGGCAGAAGTACAACGAGGTTGTGAACCCGATCTCGAGCGAGAATCTCGTTCGCCTGTTCGGCCAGGACCCGGACAAGGCTTTGGAGAATGACGACTTCTTGAAAATGTGCAAGAGGGCGGAAACGGACCTGGAATTTGCCCATCAGATGCATGCTGGTGTCAATGTCCTCAAACACGACTTCACTCAGTATTATACTAGGCAGTCAGCTCCGGAGAAGATCCAGACTGGGCACACCTTGTCCGAGAAACACCCCGATGCCCCAGTCCAAGCAGCGGCGGTCGGGGTGACCGATTAGTCGGAACTGGTCTCTGTTGTAGTGATCTAAGATTAGGAGCCTCTCCAAACGAATATCACAGAGTCATCGGCAGTCATGCACGAACGAGCCTGTATTGCTGGCAAACTATTGACACCACCATGGGAGGCGAATGGCCAGGGAAAGCAAGGTGTCTATGATGATAGGCAGCACCCAGAACCAGGTAGAGACACTCTCCTAATATACTGTCAATAATGCTTATAGGTAGATCTGGCTCGCATTGGTAGTGGCAGGTGGGCAGAACGGAGAACCCTGATGTGTGAACAGACATGTGAGACGAGTGGAGCTGTACCGAAGAAGACAGAAGATGAATTGAGTCGTTCTTGAACTCAAGGAATCAATACAACCGTTATGTTCTCCATGCCCTGATATCTGCTGGCGAGGTTTGACGACCCTCGAGTATGTTCAATGGACATATTCCAGACCCTGGTCTCCACAATATTGACATATCCGGGCTCCCCTTTGTGGCCCCTTTCTGCACAGCAAGATGAAATAACCGTCTCCCGCAGATCTATACCTTGACATCCTTGACCTGGTTCTCGACTTCGTGACTCTCCTCCACAGGTGTAAAGATCTTTCTAAACCTGAAATGAACCAAATCACTCAACATCTCAGTGGTGTTCTTCAGGTTCTGCTTCACGAGCTCGCTTGTCGGCTGGCTGAAGATGAGATCGATTTCCTCCAGAGTCTTGTTCTTGGTTTCCGGCATGAACAGGAGCTGATAGATCCAGCCGAGCACGGCAATGCCGCCGTAAAAACCCAATGTCAGACCGGTCTTCGTCATGGCTCTCTGCATGTCCGAGAAGAAGTAGGTGACCAGCCAACTGCAGAAGAACAAGTTCACGTCTGTCGACTCCATGCCGTATGATCGTAGGTAGGTAGGGAATACCTCACTGGGCAGAACCCAGGTTAGGCAGGCGTAGGAACCGAAAAATCCGTTGTATAAGATGATGCCGGTGAGATAGAGCCCTTCGGTCGCCACGAACGAGTTCAATTGGTACGAGACCCCGATCAAGACGAGGCCTAGGAACAAGCACGGAAGCATGGCGTTCGCCCAGAAGCGCCGGCCAAACTTCTCCATGTACAACACTCCCGGAATGGTCCCCAGGAGGAGAGCTCCACCCCCTACCAGGGACATAAAGACGGAATCTTCCCTGTTGAACCCGATCTGCGACATCAACGTCGACATGAAATACATGATCGCGTTGATGCCACTAAGCTGCCCTAAACTGATCATGATATTCGCATAAACAAGCGATCTTCGAGCTCGAGGGTTGGTAAAGAAGTCGAGCCAGACGAATCTGCGACGTTTCGTGGCGCCCTCCCGGACATTGACTTCGGCGTCGAGAGCGTGGTGCATAATGAAGAATTCCTTGCGGTTGTCGGCGAGGTGCACGCCCCGGATGCGTTTCCAGACGGCAAAGGCCTCGAGAGTCTTGCCCTTGTGCATCAGCATTCTCGGGCTCTCGGGCATGAAGATCATGCCGACCAGCATGATGGTGCTGAAGACCAGCGACGAGCCCAGCATGTACCGCCACGACCCGGAGGAGACGTTGACAAAGATCGCGGCCACGACATAGCCAATGACTTCTCCGAAAGCGATCATGAGCTGGTACAAGCTGACCAGGTTGCCGCGGTATTTCTTCTCGACCGACTCGGCGACGTAGACGGGGACGGTGCCGCCCTCGAGACCGAGACCCATGCCGAGGATGACTCTGGCCGCGACGATCATGCCGAAGTTGATGCTTCCCGCTTCGAGAGCACCGCCGATGGTATAGAGGACAAGGGAGATGATGATGGCCATTTTGCGCCCGACCAGTTCGTTGGTCGGGCCGAGGAGCAGTGCGCCGCCAATCGCGCCGAGAGGCACGGCCGAGCTGGTCAGGCTGACCTGGGACGTGCTCAGATGCAAGTCGTCCGGCATGTACAGCAGCGCGCCGGAGATGACGCTCTGGTCCAGCCCCGACAACATGCCGCCCATCGAGGCGAAGCCGACCAACAGCCACGTGAAGTGGCGGGGATCGTTGAACGAGAGCTGCGGGTTGAGGAATGTGCTCTTGATGGGATGGGCTTCGAGCTCGGCCTCAAACTCGGCGATCTCCTCGTCCACGATCGCCATGTCGTTCTCCGCCAGCCTGATGGCTTGGGCCTCGCTGAGGCGCCGCCGCGAAGCCATCGAGAGCTTCCGATCATTTTCATGCTCGATATGGGCATCGCTGCCGTCGAACTTCTCGTTCAAATCCATGCCTGGAAGGTTTGAATACTAGTATCGACCACAAGCGTGATCTTCCTTACCACAGGGGAAATCTTGGGCACTGCCTGTGTGAGCGCGTCTGTTGATATGAGTTGGGGAACACGACACGCCCTTGGGGCCGCGCTCGTCTTATCGTATTTTTATACCCGTCCCGCTGGCATCTGGAGTCTCCAGTGGAGAGCGTGCGGACCTCCCACGCGCCCCCAGGGGAGACAGGGCCGGTGCAAGCCATCATGGTCTGTGGACTGACCTGGAGATGGGCCGGGGAGAACGTCGCATTCTTCTGCATCGTCTTTCTTCCCCATCAGTGGTCACACGCCCTGCGGAAGCCGCGCTGCTCTTTGACCGGCGTCAGTCTCGTCCAAACAACATCAACTCTGCAATGATCCATCCGGCGCATGTGCCAGTTACGGACGGGATGGGACCCAGAATGGCCCTCTGCCCCCCCTGTCGCAGAGTATCAGGATGCACACTTTCACGGCAATTGATCGGGAGAAAAAGAAAAAAGATTCCTTGAAGCTTCGCTCAAGCTTTCTGTCTGGCTTGACCACGCTGGATTTGAGCCCCGAACATGGCAAGCTATTCAGGGGTTTGTGAATGGTGGTTGGCCAGTATCCCAGCCACGTCGTCACGATCTCCAGTCGACTCTCGCCGAAAGCTTGCAGCAAATTGCCTGATCTGACTACTTCGGCAATTGACATTGAGATACGAGTGGGTTCCCGATGGAGATTTGCCGAATTTCTGGCGAGAAACAACAATAATGATATTGACACTATGGAGTGGCGCCTGTGGTGGGTAGCGTGTGATCATGAAAGACAGCAGAAGAGAATGTTCCTTTCCCCGTGGAGTTCTTGTTCATTGAGGTCAACATTGGTCCTTGAAACGAACCCCTTACTCTGTCTGCGATCAAATTCTTCGATATCAGGGGCTGACGGGTGTTTGGAGGACTCTCTCTGTAAGGCTCCGTCTACACCATTGGGTCAGCAACATCCCGTGTCACCCAGGTCGGCCGCGCACAACGCGTACTAGAACAACGACATTTTCGATCGTTCTCCATACTTCCCCAGCAGACCATTACCCGGTAGTTATTCGGCACTGGGGCCCCCTGGTGAAGGTGGATAGGAAGCGCTAATGAGAGCCCCTTAGCCCTCCATATAGACAAACTGGTTGGTGGAACATATGTAAGCTCGAGTCCTTCAGGCCCGCTTCAAACAGTCACTTGACTTTCCAAATTTCTCCCCTCCACCACACGGATTCAGATGGATCGTCCACGCGGTTGTACGGTCGTCGCACAGGCCGCGTCGTACCAGCTGATATCTCTTCGCGAGGTTGTCAAAGATGCGAGCCCGAGACCGAAGCCTTCAACTTGAAGCGATGTTTTGGGCCAAATATCCTGAAGAAAGACTGATCAAAGAATGCCGATCAATGCGCGTTGACTAGTGTCTGGCGTATCCGTAATGATGTGTAAACAGAATTTCCTCAACTGGAGATCACGATGAACCTCCCAAGCCCTGCCGCAAACGCGAGCTGTGCCTTCATGAGGCAGGTTACAGACGAAGACTGATCCCCGGCAGGGATAATCTCCTGTTGTTGATATCGTTGATACTAGCCGACATGGATGAGTTTCGAGACCAGGGATTCACATGACAATCCCTTCGACAGGGGATGAGAGACCATGCTGATGTCGCACTCTCATGCAGATGCATCGAGCCAACGTTACTGTCCGTCGTCAAACACCGTCTGAAAATCTGGCCAGTGCTGCCGCCGTTCCGGTTTGTCCCGCTGGACGCAACGGCTGGGTTTGATACCTATCTTATCGTGATTCCCATCTCGATGCCCGAAAGGATGAAAAAGCGTCTCGTTCGATTCTGACCTGCTAAATGATGAGTACGCCCGACGTTGTCAATGGCTCCACGGTAAGTAGACTGCGATCAGATTGACAGGACAAAAAGGAGTTTGGTGGTCAAAGTGGCATTTCCTGCAAAAGAGATATCAACGTAGGTTTACTGCGAACACCTCGAATCGGAGAGCAACATTGCGTGTTCACAGGCTCTCGCTTCATGAAAGAATTGATACACACCACCCCTGATCTCATCTCTACCACCCCATGCGCCTGCTCTGTCTGTCCATCGGAGTCTCGTCTTATGCAACTCGTTTCCGCAGATAAACCTCGAGACCTTCTTGGACAACGAAAAAAGTCGAATGATATTGCAATGGCCGTCCCGGGTGCGCAAGGGTGATGTCGTATTCTCTCAGGATCTGGATCAAAACCTTGTTCATCTCGAACAGGGCCAGGTTGCGACCGATGCAAAGATGACTACCGCCTCCAAACTGTGGTGGAACAATCATATTCATGTCAGCATTCTGGTCGAACCTAGTCGCTCGAAATGACTCGTGCCGCGAGGCCATTCTTGCTGGACATACCTGATACATGTGCGAGGCCATCAGCTTGGCGTCGCGTTCAAACCATCTCTCTGGGCGGTAGGTGTCGATGTCGTCTCCAAACACCGCTCTATTCCGGTGCAAGACCCAGCCGTTCACGGCCACCTCGACACCACCGGGGTAGAAACGTCCATCGATCTCGGCCCCTTCAGGCGGCACTCTGCGGTAGATGCCCAGTCCGACCGCGGGGCGCAAGCGCATGGCTTCCTTGAGACAGGCCTGGAAGTATTCGAGTTTCTGCGCCTCGGCGTAGGTGACAATCGGCGAGAGCTGACCGGCCTTTTGCGCTTCGTCGATCTCCCTCTGCAGGATGGCATAGGCATGTGGCGAATTGAGGAGCAGGTAGAAGAAGGACTGCATCGTCGAGGCTGTTGAGTCTGAGCCGGCAAATCTGTGAAACGAGAAAAAAGGCAGGCTGAGTCAGTCTACCGTACCCAAAAAACGGATTGTCACATGGATTCTTCTGAGGCTGAGGAAACTTACACAGCACCATGCGCGATACTGAAGACGTCGTTCACACCGAACTTTTCCGGGTTTGCTTCGTGAGCCCGGAGCAACTCGGCCAACAGGTCGATCCCCGAAGAGTCATAAGTTCCGTCGGGCTGCTTTCGCTTCTCGAGTTCCTGGATTGCTATCTTTGTCATGGTGGTCGGCTGGGGCTTCCAGAACGGTAGGTACGGCCGCAAGGGGTTGTTTCGAAGGAAGACGTCGAATTCGGGGATATGGCCCACGATGCCGTCGTACCATTGCACGTCGTCGATGTTCTTGATAGAGCCCTCGACGTCCTCTTCTGCTTCCAGAAACCCGAATCGTCTTGAGAATGCCACCTCACCGAGGACCTGCGGGGTCGGTCAGCTTCCTGGACGATCCAACACCCACACCGGATGAGGCCAGAGGGGATTTTGGTCTTACATCAAAGGCAAAATAGTGCAACAGGTTGCCCAGGTTGCATAGCCTCTTCGAGTCCGTGGCCGCATATTTCTCCAGGTGCTCCATTAAAAGTTTGATCATGCCCTCGATCGGTTCGGACCGCTTCTGCATCTGCGCAAGGCTGTATGGGGTCACGGCGTACCGTTTCATCTGGGCATGTTTCGACTCGCGTACTTCGGTGAAGATATCGGGTGCGTGCTGCCAAAAAAGGGGGACAGTTATTTTCCGAGCCGATTGAAATCAGGAAAGCCAGCGTTCTCATCGACATACCTTTGGAGGGAAGACGCTGTAGAACTTGGTCTTGTGGAAGCCCTTGCCCACGGCGAAGATGTCTTTGGCGGCGTTGGGAGATCCAAACGAGACTTCTGACGGCGCGGTCCGCACGATAGGTCCTACAGGGGTCAGCCGTGCGCATCTTGGAGAGGGCCTGGGAGGCTTGCGAGGAACAGGACACTGGCCACATACCGTATTTCTTGTGCAATGCGATGTGGTCGAGCTCGGTGTGACCATTGTAAGTACTCCAGACTAAGCATATATGTCAATAACAATATATGTCTTTCCAGGCCGGGTCCAATGATGGCTTTGGGAGCGTACCTTTCCACAACCGAGAACACGAGGCAAGCCATGGTCCAGGGATATCTCTGATGGGCGACACATATCGCCTGTACAGGGCTCGCACGATGACTGCGGAGAAGGCGACCAGCAGGAAATGCGCCTTCACAAAAGCCAGCGTCACGGCCACAAGCGACTCGTCAGACACTTTGGTGTCAATAACGGCCATCGTTGCAGTGTTCAGACTTCACAGTCGGACAGGAGAGGTCGTGGAAGTCATCACCTTGGGTCAGGATTGTTTGTTGATATCAGTCTCAAGGACAGGAAGGTGAAGGTTCATGGCCTCGCTATGTATGTTATATCGAACCAGTGTACCGGCGGTCCAGCAACCCCGCCACAACAATGCCTCCAGCACTGGCACTGTACCGGCCGTCGAACGACGTTCCAGACATTGGCAATCCAGGCGTGCAACTTACTTACCTCCATCTTTCTTCTCCGCATCGGAACAAGCCCCACTATGGGGTTGAGCGTTCGGCAGTGGCACTGACGGGGGCGGCGAGGCAGGACGCTTGTCCTCGCAGATCTTACTGGGTCGACCCCACGATGTGGTGGTAAGGGACTCTAGTCCTCGACCGTTCAAGATTGCAGGTGAGATCTTGACTAGAGGCTAGCACTCTTTCCCCCTGTTGCGTCCCAGAGTTTCCCCAGGACATCCTAGCTGATCGGACTAACCAGTCTGCCGCTGTAATGATTGTCAGCTTCATGCGAATACAAGAGCGAGGCTCTGACATGCCCTTTTGTAAAGGGTGACCATGTCAGATTATCCAGATGTGGGACGACAAACAAGACAGACGTTAAAGAGTGTACGTAGTAAAAACCCCGGGGAGATCATGATGCCTGGTTCCAGCCTTGATCAAGCGACTCCAGCAAGACATGCTACAGTAGACACTATAGGCTATCCTCCAAGCAGGTACTAGCATCGCTGTAGAAGAAAGAAGACCTATCAGTCGGCGAAGTCATGGCATGTCAACTGAAATGGGGCTTTAGGTGGTTGCGAGGCTGGTAGGGCCACCACGTCCACAAAGACGGCAAAGTAGAAGTGGTTCGAGATATATGGTCGATAGAGGCCTGATTGCAGGCTGAAATTCATCCATCTTGTTATTGTCCAAATTTTCACAGAACTACTACTAGTACTTATGCGAGACAAGGTCTTTTGAGGAATGGTATTCGAACTCGCTAGTACATCATTGAATTCTTCATACTCATCTACTACTCGGTATCGTACAGAGCGACAGTTGCTCGAGACACCAGTTGACCCCATATATCTTACACCTGGATCACGACCTTGCCAAAGTGCTTCTGATCCCATTGATACTGGTACGCCTCGACCGCATTCTCGAACTTGAAAATCTTCTTGTCGACCACGGGATGGATGCCATTTGCCTCGATTGCCCGGTTCATCTCCTCGAATTGTTGCCTTGAACCGACGAGAATACCTCGGACTGTGCAGATATTGTTGAGGGCATCCAGCAAAGAGGGCATGTCTTCCTTGTTGACACCGCCGAGGAATCCAATGATGGTGATGGTGCCTTCCAGCTTGATCGCCTTCAAAGACTGCGTCAAGGTGCCAGCACCGCCCACTTCGACAATATGATCGACGCCCACGCCATCCGGCGTCAAGGATCTGGCAACTTCGCCCCAGTTCGGCGTCGTCCTGTAGTTGATGACATGGTGGGCACCGAGCTCCTTGAGCTTTTTTCCCTTTTCGTCCGAGCTCGTCGTTGCGATGACCGTCGCTCCTGCCGCGGCCGCAAATTGAATAGCTGCAAGGCTCACACCGCCCGTTCCTTGGGTGAGGACGAAGTCTCCGGGTTTGAGGGCTTTGGATTGCAAGCCGTAAAGCGCATTCCAAGCCGTCAAGGGCGCGCACGTCAGTGTGCTCGCCTCTATCGGTGAGATGGTAGAGGGTGCTTTCACCAGACCATGCTCAGGGAAAACCGCCACCTTGCGCAGAGTCCCGTCAATGGCACCACCCAGTCCAGACTGCATGGCACGCGGCGAGATTGGACCGGCCTGATGCAGCTGGTTGAAGAGTGTGCACACTTTATCCCCAACCTTGAATTCGGTGACTTTCTTCCCAACCGCAATGACGGTTCCTGCAGCATCCGAACACGGCACAACCGGTAGTGCCATGGGGAACGGGTACATGCCCTGGTTTAGGTGTCAGATCACATATACCAGCACTCTAGCAGGATGATGTATGTATGTTACTCACCTTTGGGATGATGAGGTCTCGATAGTTCAGCGAAACGGCATGAATCTGGACGGCGCAATCATGATCGCCAACCTCGCCTACCGGGCGATTTTTCTCAAGCTTGAGGCTGTCGAATCCATTGCTGCCCTGGATGACCCAGGACTCGGTTGTCTTTGGTACGGACATGCTTGTTGATTCAGTAAGTATTTATCCCACGATGATTGTTCTGAGGTTGTCTTGAGGCGTGTGAAGGAAAACGCAATGCTACTTGTTTGAGTACTACTTACGGACTTATACAGATATAGCTATACCTAGATGATACTTTATATACTTTACTTATGACGTCGACTCTACTCGCGGTGGCCGCCGGATATTTACACCGTCACAACGGCAAGTACTAGAGAGTAGTATTTTTACAAATACAAAACCATATTGATGGATCAAGATCCTAGAGGTACAACTGCCGGAGAGGGTCCGCAACTCGATCCTTGTTCTAGAAGCTACTAACAATCACTACTACTTTGCTGAACGATGACCTGAATACCCTATAAAATACTATCACAGCCCTGAATGTGGAGAGATCGGCCAACGCTCGGAGGCCCCACAGGTGACAGTTCTGTACAGAACGTTCTATCCCTTCTCTCCCGTTAACTCCGGTCTCAAAATTACTTACACATTATATTGCTTCAGCCACAAGTTACCTCCTAACGGAGTATACTGGCTAGGCTCGGCCTCCTCTTGTCCTATAGAGCGAAGTGTAGTGCTACTTAGTACTTAGTACTAGAAGTAGGCAACTGAGTTGCCAGAGATTCGATGGTTCATGGTCGAACGGTCCGCTGGCAGGCAGGTAGATTGTATACCTTTGCAAATGTCGTCAAAGAAGCCGCGATTTTGATTAGACGATAAGAATCCGCCTTATCGATCAGTCGGTCAAGTATCATGTATGTTACGTAATCCAAAAAGCCTTGGCTACTACTATGGAAGAGAGTTTATCCGACCGTCTCGCTCCTGCCGAATATTCTCATACGCGCCTACCCTTCAAGTTCTTGCTACTCTGCCACTAATACCAATGGCTCTTTCTGACTCTAGTACGCTGGAGTCTTCTGTTGGGCGCTCTACTAAGTAGAGAGTTGTATGAGCGCTCTGTCCGAAGCCCTACTTATTTCTGTGAGTGCCCTTTTGAGCGCTCTGTCTCTCAGTGAGCCATAGTAGGCCCTGTGAGCGCCCTGTTGAGTGGTCTGTCGGGTGCTCCGTTCTGTGAGTGCCTTGTCCAAAGCCCTACTAAGTAACTTATTATGTGAGTATATACGCTCCTTCGGCTTCTAAGTTAAATATCACTAGCGAGACTAGGCCTAAATTAGACTAGCTGGTCCGTAAGAGGACTTAGGAAGGCTTTAACATCCTATTACTAGGTATTAGTACCTTTTAGACTACTATGCCCCCTCAGGAGTCAAACAGGTATTAAATCAGTAGGTAGGTATCGAATCTATATCGAGTCCGTATCGAAACAGTATCGAGACAGTATCGAGAGAGTATCGAAACAGTATCGAGATAGTATCGAGATAGTATCGGAATAGGTATATATAGCGTTAGTATCTAATTAGTAGGTAAGGATACTAAATCAAGGAGTTGTAATTTTAGAGAGATTACGGCCCTAGAAATACCTTAGTATACTTTTAGGATTAAAATTAACCTTAAATCTAGATCTGAGACTTACTATTATACTATCTATTCTAGCTACCTTATCTACTAGTATTCTTATACTAGGTCTAGATATTTATAGATTAGACCTAGATTAAAGCTAGATTAGACCTAGATTAGACCTAGATTAAAACTAGATTAAAACTAAATTAAAATAAAGCCTCCTAGGTACCTAATGGTACCTACTTCTGAAAGCTTTAAACTTAATTTTAGGTCTAATCTAGTTTTAATCTACTAAGTAGTAGGTTCTAGGTAGTAGTACCTATATAGGCCAGACCGTGGCAGTCTTGAATTATAAAGCTTTAATAAAGACCGTGGGAGACTGATAGGCCGATAAACTGAATATAGGGACTACAAGTAGTACCTAGTTTTCCTGCTCTTAGGTAAGTACCTAGTGCTTTAGTAGTAGTACTTAAGTAGCTAGCAGTACTTAGTAGTAGATATAAGTAATGCTGCTATCGTGAAATGAAGTGGTATGCAGCACTCGGTGGTACTGGAAGAAACCCAAAACATGCCTAGTGGACAATGGTACCAGACCATTCGGAGCAGTCAACCTGGGTAGCCGTGCCAACTGCAAGACCAACGCCACTATCTCCAAAGAACGCCTCCGAGGCACCGCTGTCGCTGCAAAGATCAAAGTTGACGTTGGCGCCGTACTGGTTGGTGCCTGTCAACCCGTCCTGGGAACACAGCGGGTTGCCGTCTGCAGGACACAAGTTGTTGATCATGACGACGATGCTGGTTCCGGCGTTACTCAGTTTGTTCCCGGACGAGTCGGTCTCGCCCGTGAGCTTCCAGCATGTGCCGCAGGCCGGACCTTGGCCTGCACCGGGGCCTACGCCGTAGAGGTTTTGGCTCACTGCGGCGCTGAATCCGGGGTAGGTGTAGAAGAAACAGGCGGCCGTGTTGGTGTTGCAGTTTGGGGAACCGAAACTGTCTCCCGCACCGTAGTGTGTCATGGATGCTTTGTAGGTCAGGCCTCCGCTCGAGGCAGGACTGGTGGCCGTTGCTTGTGTGCTGGCACTGGTAGCAGTGCTTTCTGCGGAGGTCGTCGTGGTTGTTGCGAGCTCCACGGTAGGAGTCACTGTGGTGGAAGGCTCGGGTGCCGCCGAGCTTGCGACTGGCTCAGAACTGACTGTTGCTGCTGGGGGTGCGGAACTGGCGACTGGCGAGGGAGTACTCTCTGTTTGCAGGCATTGGGAGTACCATGGGTTTTGGACAACACAGGTCCAGCCTTCTGAGCATACTGTGCCTCCAGTCCAGTTGTTTCCTCCGCCTTGTAGATTGACAGTCAGTGTTGTGCCCATATTGCTTGATGGGCTGTGGATTTGAGACACTTACATTGTTCCCATGGGCCTTGGGTCGAGGTGGATGCAGCAGGGCAAGCAACAGCAGCCGAAGCAAGCAGAAGCAATCCAAATGACTTGTACATCTTTGCGGTTAACAAGTGCCTTAGTTAGGCTGGACAATGAGCGAATGAGATGCGATCAATGGAAGACCAGTGAAAGGAGCAGTAGTACTTAGTAGTAACGAATGACAGAAACGAATGACCTCGATCGACGAGTGAAAGAACGGACGGTTGACTGATGAGCATTCCAGAGACATCTCGATGAGGGCCATTGATGGGATATTAAATATTCTCCGACGCCCAGGGAGTAAGTATGTGGTCGTTGCCATGTGTCGGCCGGCTGTGCCGAAATCTGATGTCGTTTACATCGTAAGGACGACATGAGAATGAATCGGCCCGCTAGTGACCGGGCTGGACTGTCGCACCAGCGCGCAGCATCTGTACACAGGGGAGTCGAATCCTTTGTGGCGGGTTAGGATGAGCTCATGGGACCAGTAAGTGTACCTTGAGATTGAAATGGTTCAGTTGTCAACACACCGGCGGCCGGCCGTGGTCTTTTCCTTGAGATCTCAGGCCGGCCAACCAGGGGCGTGATCCTTGTCCTGAAACGGCGACCAGATGGTGGCGCCAGACTGTGGACCAGATTCGCCAGTAAACCCGCGAACATCCACTTCTGCCCATCTCTGCTCCTGAATCTTGATGTATATTCCAACCACCCCGGCGCCGGTCGTGATTCATTTATTTGGTCTTCTTTCTCCCTTGCATATGGGTATATCCTTGTTCTTGCCTGAGAAATTGGCAGGGACTATGGTCTAGAGACATGTTGTTCAAGACGGCCACGTCGAATATGACGCACGGGTCTTCTAGGCGTTGGTGGCCACATCTGACGGCGGTATATGGCGCTGAAATACTCCCCTTCTTTTCACCCAATGTGCGTATACTCGTTCACTTCTCATGTTTTTTTACAACGCGAGGTCTGCCCCTGCTGCGGACTCGGCTGCCAGATTGTCAGGATTGCGTATTCTATGCCATTTCAGCAAGGCAGCCGCAGTTGTCATGGGTGGGTGCGTCTCTCGATATTCTCACGTCCGGGCGTCGAGGCTTTTGTGGGCATCGTTTCCAATCTCGCCGTCACCGGGTTGTCCATGTACTTTCTCCGCCTCGCCCATTCTCCCGTCGACGGCCTGCCGGATACGCCTGGTCCCAAACATGGACATGGACTTTTTGCGCCCTCGACAGTGTCCACTTTTGCGTCCCATGTTGGCTAGTGATGCGGATGCAGGGTGTATGGGTTTCAACTGGAATAGCTTTCTCAGGTAGGTCAGGATGGAAGTCAGATGACATCCATAACGCACAGTTCATGGCTTGCATCAGAGAACTTGCATTGTATGTGCGGCGTCTAGAGCTGGCGTCGTCTAGCGCAGACACCATCTTCCCTGCAGGAGAAGTGCCTGCACAAGGACAAGGGTGCGGTATACGTTGATTCAATGTGGAAGGTGGGGTGAGGCAGCCCTTTCTCGTTCTCATCTTTTTGTCACTTCGCTCCTGCCAGCCCTGTATCTGGCCACCACTTTGACCGATGGAGCACTGCTGCTCTCCCACGTTAGCTGCCACGGAATGCTTCTCCACCATAGTTGTACTTAGTAACTCGCCTCGGTGGTCTCTCCATATGATGGCCCATGGCCATTAGCGGCAGGCCTTCGGGGCTCTCTTGTCAACGGTAACAGAGGGAGGTAGGCAGCAATTGCGCATTTTTCGGAAAGTAGTGCATCTGTAGCCCTCGATATTCTGTCCCGGTCCAGAACGGGGCCCCTCTTGCTTTCTATGGTCCGCAGCTTTCTGGCCGCTGGACGTGAATCTGTATATGAATGGGACACCTGTCGAGAGCTTTTCAGTCTAGTATGCCTGGCCGGCATGAATCTCTCTCCTGACTTGCAGCGGTAGTGTAGTTGCCATTGAGTAGTAGTATCCTTCCTTGCTATCAGTGGGACCGACGTTACGTGGTAAGACCACATAATTCGTGGTCTGGGGGTTTCGTCCAGTTGGGCTTGCGCGACTCTACGTATGTCCTGCAGTATGCGTAGCTCGTTGATGTCTCAATTGGGTGCATGTGTGGCATTCTATGTCGCCCTGATGCCTCGTGTACCCTCCAAGGAGGAGTGTCTGGAGATATACTTGTTGTCTTCACGTCATCATGTAGATAAAGTACTGTGGCCTGGCATGTCCAGGTCATCGCGTAGGCGGGCTGCTCTTTTGACGGCGGCACGAAGGGATTTGATTCTGCTAGCAAGGAGTGTCAGTAGGCTGTTGAAGTTTGATCCTACCTAGAAGCTTCTCCATCAGTCCCGAACAGGCGTGGTGCTGGCTTCACGGAGGAAGCGCAGCTTGGTCAGTCGTGTTTGCGTTGAAACGCAGTAGCTTGCAGGACAACCAAGAGGCCACCACTCATATGTCTTTGCAGTGACGACATTGTCCGAGACCATCGAATAGTCGGCGAGATCTCGCACTGCTGGCCAGCCCAGCGAAATCTGCTAGACACCATTTGGGTGCAATGACTCGGTGGTGAAAGCAGAGGGAAGTGAGGAGTGAGGAGAGCGGTGATGTTCAGTGTTGTGGCACAGATCGAATATATTTCCAGAAACGGCCAAATTTATTCCCAACCCTCCATTTCACCTACACATCAGTTATTACCCTACCAACTGTGTACATTCAACGTCAATTCAAGCGGAAAGACAGATCAATAATCATATGAGGATTGTTTATTGTTATCGACGATGACCGCAGTCCCCTATGGGTCTGACTGGGTTGCACGCGGCTCTGCAGAGCAATACTCCATACATATCAATATGCCCCCAACACGATGCCATACGCAACCCAACGTAGCACGACCATGCAGCAACCGAATAGAAATATCCTATTAGCCCAGTCCAGCCCGGGTCGTCTTGACAACATGCTTGATGGCCTCCAAACCACCCTCATTGCCGACAGCTCCAATGCCCATGCCACTTGTCCAGCCCATCTTCTCCAGTATGGCCCGGCCTTTGTTGTCAGCACCGAGCTCAGGCGCAGAGCCGCCCACAACCTCGCCGTTCATGTAACTGGCACCTGAGATTGCACCGCCGCCGCCTCGGCGAGCCCCCATAGCACCGGCGCCACGGGCAGCATTGGGACCACGGTAAGAGCCTCCACCATGCCTGGGGAAGAATTTCTTCATATCCATGAGAGCATCGATCTCCCAGATAGTGTCGATGGTAAACCGTGGAGTCTGAGGGCCCTTGGTTAGGACAGGATACCTGCCGATACCACGACCTTCCTTGCCTTCCGAACGTGACTTCAACCTCAAAGCCTTGGCGAGCCGATGGACCGAAGCCCTGGTTGCTGAATCCATGGGAGCCAATGCGAGAGAATCGGTTTCCTGGATCAGGAACCGTCTGATCTCGGCCTTGATCGCCGTTGGGCTGTTGCGCTCAGAAGCGTCGAGCAGCGCAGCCTCACGTGCCTCTTGCCTTTCGCGTTTTCTAGCAGCCTTCTTATCCCGATCTTTACTCCACGTACTTCGCAAGTGCTCGGCCAACTCCTCGTCGTCCAGTCCAAGGTCGAATGGGAAGTCTGACTTGCGTCCCTTCTTCTTAGGTCGGAGACTCGGTCGATCGAAATCCATTATGTCAAATGCACCATATGGATCCTGGTCAAGAGCGTCGGCAAACGCCTCAGCAGGTGGAAACGTGTCTCGCTGTCGTCGGTTGCGCTTCGACTTGCCACGGTTGGAAAGATGTGCCTTTGTTGAGAAGGGGATGAAGTCCTGATCGGCGGCGAAGTCGTCGTCAATCTCATCGTCATCGTCATCGTCAAACTCTCCGTCGAAGAGCACCAATTCATCACCTCCCATTCCAAGTTCTTCTTGCTTGGCCAGCGCCCTGGCGATCTGCTCGTCACTCATACGAGAAGTATGTTTCAGTATTTGCGCATTCTCGGCATCCTCGGACTCGATTTCGTTGACCAGATCTTCGAGAGCCTCGTCACTCTCCGATTCCGTGTCGGAATTGTCGGTGCCTGAAGTCTCTGTATCTTCTTGAATGTTCATTGAGCAAATCTCCTCAAAGATGCGGATCTCCTTCAGAGCGGAAGCCGACTTGAGTTTGCCCTGCAACACCCAGCGAGCTTCATTTTTATCCTGGCCACTTGCAGTGACAAGGTACTGTGCACCGCTGGGACGGACTCGACGCCTTAGCACTTGAGTAATCTCAACAACCTCCTCATCGGTGGTGCTCAACTCATCAAAGTCCTCCAGGTCCGCAGAATCCCAGTCGATGGCCTGGCCAACAGCTGCCTTGATGGCAGTCTTGCTCGAAGTCGTATGCACTTTCTGATTGGCGTCAGCAGAGCCGTCGAAGAACCGGTGATGTTCGTTGCTTCTGCCGACATTCACTGCATCGCCATCTTCATTGCCGCCATCGCCATCCTCATCGCTGTCATCATCGACTGCTAGATTTTCAATGTAGTCTCTCATGAGGGCCTCTTCCTCCTCTCTCTCACGTTTATTCCGGAGTCGCGCTCTCTCGTGACGATTAAGGGGCTTATTATGGGGGCGAGCTCCTCGGGGATAGCCTGCACGTGCAGAGACTTGGTGAGGTGAGGTGGTCGCTTTGTTGTCTGCGTCGGAGGACGCGGGCACAGTGACATTCGGTATCGATTCCGGTTTCGCAGGGCGGATAGGAATGGTCTGCTCAGGGCGAATCGGCGCGGACTTCGGTGTGCTTGCTCTGGCTTTGGGCCTCGCCACAGGATTCGACCGACCACAGAAGACTATCTCCTCCGAAGAGTACGAGGACGCCGAGTTCTTCCTGGACAAAGGTCGAGATGCAGCCGAGAACTCTGCAGACTGAAGAACTTGAGGGGTGGCATGATCTTCTCGACTGGCATGGACGGTAGGATCTTCGATCGGTTCTGCCGATTCTGGATCTGCAGAATCCTGCTCAGGAGTATGTACTCCAGGCTCACCATCTGTTTCCTTTTCTGCATCTTCTTCCTCCTGTGTGGTGGCCGGGTCATTCCGAACGAGGGTGCCAGCACTGACAAAACTAATGGCCTTCTCTCTCAGCCTAGTCGGTCCCCAGCCCATCGTGTGACGCTCAGTGTTTCGAGCCTCTTGACTCATGCTGAACAGGCCATTCCCAGCGTGCGGCGAACCCGAGTCGGAGATATCTTGCCAATCTCGAACGTGACCTCGCTGTTTCGTGAACGGGGCTGAAGCTGGACACATTATTGTCAGGCACCTCTTTGGCAATATCGAGTCTCAAGCTTCTCATACCCTTGACAGATGGACTGGCCTGACCCGACGCCCATGGGGGGCCTCTCGGACCGCCATTTGCTCTCTTCCCTCGCGCCTGAGCGCGTTGTCGTGCCCCCATAGCGGGGCGAAGGTGTTGGACAAACCGCTCCTCTGCGAGTGGGAATGACTAGAATACCGGGGTGTACAAAGGAGATCAAGCTGGGTGGTAGTATCAAAGATTGAGGCGTGCGGATGTCAAGGGTAGAAATACAGGCACTCAGACCGGGAGTGACTCTTCTTGATGCGGAGTTGCCACTGTGAATCACTACAGACCAAAACTGTCACATACGATGGAGTGCGGGCTTGAAAATGGGTGGGAGTGAACGACAATGGCCATCTGGCAAATAGGGAGGGAGACTGCTGCTGCTTCACTCTCCGCCAGTCACACGCACTGGCAGTCCGGCACCAGTCTGAGTCGCCGCAGCGATCTGGCCCGCGGCGTCTGATGTAATAATAATCCCCCGGACGATGGACGATGGACGCAACAAAGCATCATCATGCCTGAGGTGCCTGCGAGGCTGACCGACCTTTGCAGTACCTGCAATTGATGCCTGCGCCCCTCAATTGCTTCAAGTTTCATTGATGACCTGAACCCACACATGCAAACAAAACACTTCAATAGCAAGCAGATCATATATCAGTACTACTAGTAGTATACACGACCAATCGACATTCCATTCCATCCCATCCCATCCCGCCGCCCCTAAGCCACCATCCGACCTGGAGACCCTTCGAGCTCTGTTTGCCTCCCACCACGACCAAGAACGCTCGCATTCGCACTGTGAACCGCTCGAGCCTGTATTCTTGTGGAATATACAAAAGAGAGACCCAGTTCGCGTGTCGAACCACCAGATCCCCCAACTTCTGCCCCAGGCGTGGACACCATTCGGCCTGTTGCATGCGTTGTCCACCACCCTTCAACATCTCCCTAGCCAGGGCGTCATGAATGGAGTCGATTACAAGCGCTTCGTGCGCTATTTCTACGATCCCCAGCCGAGACACGATGATATGTCTGGGACGTCGATATGGTTGCTAGGGAAAGAATACACATCCGCACCTCCAAAGCCCGTGACCACAACAGACCACGACGACGTGGTTGAAGTCGAATCATCGGCCGACTCTCAGGACCCTTCAGACGCCAGTGTTTCCACGACTGTAGAGACACAGTCGCATCCGTCCCAGAATACCAGTAGTTTTGATGATGCCCAGCATGTCACTGGAGAGAATCTCCCTTCCCTGTCGAACGATCCCTCCGACGGTGGTTGGCCACATGCGTTCCTGGACGACTTCGAGTCGCGGTTATGGATGACCTACCGGTCCAACTTCACACCAATCCCCCGTTCACAGGATCCATCTTCCAGCGCATCCATGTCCTTCTCAGTCCGCCTTCGCAATCTAACCGAGCGGGAGGGCTTCACCAGTGACACCGGCTGGGGTTGCATGATCCGATCTGGACAGTCTCTCCTCGCCAATACCCTGATGTTGCTCCACCTAGGTCGTGACTGGCGACGAGACCAGAACGTCACCTCACCCTCTGCAGACGGCTCTCCGTCACCTTCCACGCAGCGCGAAGCCGAAATTCTGTCGCTTTTCGCCGACTCGCCCGATGCCCCCTTCTCCATCCATCGGTTCGTCCAGCATGGCGCCTCAGCGTGCGGAAAGCATCCAGGTCAATGGTTCGGCCCTTCAGCAACTGCATCTTGTATCAAAGAACTCTCCACCGAGTGCGCAGCAGCAGGTCTACGGGTCTACGTGACGCCTTCGGCTTCAGAGGTGTACGAAGACCGTTTCCGATCCATCGCGGCAGCTAGTCCTTCGGATCCCACAATCAAGCCTACATTGATTCTACTGGGAATTCGACTCGGTCTTGATAGAATCACGCCCGTTTACCACGAGGCCCTGAAGAGCTCGTTAACCTACCCACAATCGATCGGGATCGCAGGGGGGCGCCCATCCTCGTCCCATTATTTTGTCGGCTGCCAGGGCGATCTCTTCTTCTACCTCGATCCTCACGAGACGCGGCCAGCATTGCCGTACCATCCCACAGCGGAAGAGTATTCTGAAGACGAGATTGCAACATGCCATACGCGCCGTCTACGTGGCCTGCGGATCAGCGAGATGGACCCAAGCATGCTGATTGGGTTTTTGATCAAAGACGAGGCCGACTGGGAGGATTGGAAGCGCCGGATCAGAGAGGTCAAGGGCAAGGCCATTGTGAATGTTTTTGACAAGGAGCCGCCCGTGCCTGGGGAGTCTAAGGAGCGCAAGGAGGCAGTCGACGAGGTCGAGACATTTGATGATGAGGACGATGACGAGACTGTGACCGTGACGGGTCAGGAGGGCGATCTTGACCCTGAAGGCCAGGGAGAAGGGGACGGGGTCAAGGTCGAAGCACAGCCGGATCAAGACACCCCAGTCCACCAGGTCTGACGATGACTGACTTCGGCCGGTGTTGATGGAACGAACGCTTGGGAGTGCTGCTATATCCACTGCAGCCAGTGTGTTATCGCCAATTGCGACGCACCTTGTTAGGTTTTGGATTACGCGATGAGTTTACGATGCAAGGATGAATGAATCAGATGCCGTTCTATTGAGATCTCACGTATGACGCCGCATGCTAACCCATCTTACGGTTATTGTTCTCCCTGCCCGCGGTGTAATAAGACACCCGCATCTGTCCTAACATGCGAGTCACTCGAAGTCTGCATTTTACTGAGTCGTAGCACGCGATGGTCTGTGTCTGGTCGTCGCGCTTCTGGCCCAGTGACAAAGACCCAACCGCCAACCTCTCCGTCGAGGTGGACTATGTCAACCACAACAAGCACGCGTTGACTAGCGCGCAACACGACGCGTACCAAAACATTGCGGACATTCAGACACTACAGAACACTGCATGGTAGGAGTTATGTTTTTGGACGCGCGAGTTAGAATATGGATCAGGTTCGATTGATTGATCTCATGCTTTCATTTGGTTTCTTCATCTGCTTTCCCAGCTCGAATGTAAACGAAGCTGGAAGTGTGCCCATATTCCATGCCATTGCGTGGTGAGTATTGTACACTGGTCTTCCACCATGTCAATGATGAAACAAAAAGCTCTGAAAAGCGTAAAGCATGTTCGATTGCATTTGATGAGCAAGCAATTCGAAGCCTGACCCGAGCTCATCTCATTGATCCCCAGTTCCCATGACGCATCATAAAGTGTTGTAAAACCCATTCAACACCGGTGTCCATTGTGCCACAACCCCATTGCAGAGAAAAACGCGCGCAAAACCCAAGACCCAAGCATGTCCATGCCACTATGAACTCATTTATTTGCTCTGGGAAGAGTACTTGGTGACGGCCTTTGTGCCCTCCGACACGGCGTGCTTGGCCAGTTCACCAGGCAGGATGAGTCTCACAGAGGTCTGGATTTCTCGGGATGAGATGGTCGACTTCTTGTTGTATGCGGCAAGCTTGGAGGCCTCAGTGGCGACACGCTCGAAGATATCTGGTTTGGATGTTAGATCGCGGCGCGTCAGGTTGATGGTGTCAATATGCTTACCGTTGACGAACGAGTTCAAGATGGACATGGCGCGGTTGGAGATACCGGTGTCGGGGTGGACTTGCTTGAGGACTGGATTGCGCGTCAGTATTGAATGCTCAAGTGGCTGAGATGGCGCGGCGACGCGTTCTGAATCGACTCACCCTTGTAGATGTACGAGGAGTAGGTCTCCTTTCGCGTCTTGCCGCGCTTCTTCTTGTCACCTGAGGGAGCGGCGGCGGTCTTTTTTCCTGCCTCCTTCTTCTCAGCGGCAGGGGCTTTGCCAGCTGGGGCCTTGCCGCCAGTGGTGGGCTTCTTCTCAGCAGCTTTGGGAGCCATTTCTGATGATTTGGATCGCGAAAAAAGCGAGATTTAGTGGATAAAGTGAAATGAGAATGAATTTGTTTTGAAAAGGTAAGTAAGCGTGATGCGATGGGACCGGTGTGGATGGATGAAGAGGAAAGAAAGTGGAAGCCGCGGAGTGCGGATGATGGCGACTCTTATACCAGGCACAAGCGCAGGAGGAGGGCGCGGGTTGATGCGAGGAGGAGCACACGCAGGCAGAGGGCGAACACGGGTTGATCTGGGTAACAGGTTTGCGGGAATTATCAGTGTATTGTTATTCCTTCGTTTTTGTGGACTTTTCAGCCAGTGGAAGAGCGGGATCAGTATTCTTGGCGGAAAGATATGGTATTGCGTGGTACTCACAGGCCGTATTGTAAAACACAACAGAAAAGCCATTTTTGATCATTCGGCTTTGTGTCCACTGATTGGCTGCGCCGGCTGTCCGTGATCCAAACAACCCGCCCAAACTGCCAAACTGCACTGCTAGCACTCACTGATCCATGATCTCCCTCCCGGCACTCCAACACTGCCAATAATACAGGTGAAGCCAACCTGAGGCTGCTGAGTTGATCTGGAGGCGCGCCGCTGCTCACCTACTGCCCGCATCGCCGCCTGCCCACGGCTTTATAAGTTCCCTCTCCCTCCCCCCTCCGTCAACGCTTCCCCTTCTCCTTTCTTTCCATCCATCTTCAACTCAGCTTCCATCACACTTCGTCTCCGCCAGTCGTGACTTTATCACTCTAACAATTCCACCTTCTCAAAACCAAACCTCTTCAACCCAAATCAATCAAAATGACTGGCGGTAAATCTGGTGGCAAGGCCTCCGGCTCCAAGAATGCTCAATCGTAAGTCTTCCAGCGCATCATCTCTCCAGTCTTTGTGCATTGTCGCATCTGGTTTGACGCGTCTTGCGCGTCGGCTGCCTGCGATGGCGCCTTTCACCTGCTGTACCACTTATGCAAAGACAAGTACTAACTGGCGCAACCTACAGCCGATCCTCCAAGGCGGGTCTCGCATTCCCTGTCGGTCGTGTCCATCGTCTCTTGAGAAAGGGCAACTACGCTCAGCGTGTCGGTGCTGGTGCCCCGGTCTACCTGGCGGCTGTCCTTGAATACCTGGCGGCTGAAATCCTCGAGTTGGCTGGCAACGCCGCTCGTGACAACAAGAAGACCCGTATCATCCCTCGTCATCTCCAGCTTGCCATCCGCAACGATGAGGAATTGAACAAGCTTCTCGGACACGTCACAATCGCCCAGGGTGGTGTTCTACCCAACATTCACCAGAGTACGTTCATCCACATCCTTGATTATACAATTCTTCCACTAACATTCCTTCCAGACCTGCTGCCAAAGAAGACCGCGAAGGGCAAGAACCCCAGCCAAGAGCTATAAGCTTGTTTTGCTGTTTCTGGCTTGGTTTTCAAAGGGAGTTTCATGACACATGTGATCACACGGGGTTCTGGGGTTGGGTCGGCCAGGTCAATGGGCCTTTTCAGAGTTTGCTTTCACGGTTAAGGGCTGTACATTATGTCCATGCATGCCTATTATCATCATGATCATGGATAGGAATGCGGCAGGGGCATGAGAAATGCAAATGGCAGAGCAAACTGCTTTGCAATGGAACGGGTTCATTAGAGTTGACAATTCAATGATCCAAATCTGGCAAATCGTCTCTTCTGTTTCTCTAATTCTGGTTTTTGTCGTGTCTCCCTCCGGTCTGATCCAGACTGATGGCTGCGGGAACTGCTAACGCGTCGGGATGGTGCTTGCATCCTTGGTTAGAACCGTATTGCCAGTCACAACCATGTCACCCGGCGATTGAGTCAGAAGATGCTGGAGTCTAGGAAAAACGCCGTAGGTGCTGCTACCTGACGAGAGCTGCGGGTAGCCACTTCAGAGTAAAGTTGTAGATCTTGTATCAAGACGGCTGAAAGCTTATCACCGAGACAACCCCGAGCCTTACACCATCTGCTTAAAGACGCCTACGGAATACCACACAACATGCCGGCAACGTTCAGCTTGCAAGAGTGAATTCAAGGCAAGTTTGATTGTGTCAAGCTTTCTCTTCCGCTCGCAGTCCGTTGCCTCGAACTAAATCAAGCGCTTATGATAAACATATGTACAATGCAAAAATGGCATCACAGAACCCTCATAATCTCTTCACGAACTCTCTCGACGGCGCGGGAAGATCTGGAGCTGGGAGGTTCCTCTCGTATTTCGAACCTAGCGACAAGTCAGTCCGTTGCTGGCCGGGCATCATTTGGAACATATCCATACCTCCAGGGGCCGTTGGTGGTCGGTACGGGTCGGGATGTTTCCATTTGGTCAGCAGTTTCTCTGTTTCATTGAACAAGATCTGCGTGGTTAAGCTGTTAGAGGTCCATTCCTTCAGAGCAGACAGATTGCGATATGTGATGCTGAACATACTCTCTGTTGTCTGGGATCTTTCACGTTTCTGTTCGCGTCAAAGAGGGACCGGATATACACCGCTTGACCGCGCCATAGATTCCGCTGGACAGCCCAGTCGAGGGCGAGCTTGAGCGACCGCCGGTAGAGAGAGCTATCGCACGACATCAGCAGTGAAAAGGTCAACGGTTGACACAGGCTATATGGTGCATACCGGACAGCCTTCACATGAGGGTTTATGGTTGCCATCCTCAACAACGCAGGCGCTCACGGGCGCTCAAGGACCTTGTTACAGATTTCCTCCTCTCGACGATCGTTTGGTGTCTCCCGTAGAACGGCACTTGACCTTCGCTGGTCCTTTGAATGTCGGTTGTTGCGGTCGTCAAACACTAACTCTCATCGCATCTGTATGTAATTCGGGCACGTCGATTGGAAGTGCAATCCGATTAGCAGCTTTAGGCTTGGCAGGGAAGCTCTACGGTGACGCTTTCGAGCGGATCAAATAGGGACGGGACACTCTGCCTTGACGCTGAATGGGTGCTACGACAACCCTGTACCACGACCAACAGCCAGTCAAGTGCTGCGCGACTTTCAGGTTCGGCTCCTGCAGTGTCTGTCGTATGCCCAGCCCCGGTTGTCAGAGCTCTTGACTCCCTCTGAAGCTCCCCCATCTATTCCGACGATCCCTGGATACAACTTTTCAATATCCGACGTGCTTGTCTCTTCTCTTATTCCTCCTTCCCTTGTTGTTTCAGTTGGCGGAGTGTCCGCCTCGTATGCCGCTTCAATAAGCTCTTCGCTCTGTGGAGCATCAACTGTCTCTCGTTGTAGCACGGCCGACAAGGCAACTCTAATATCATGGCTTCTCTTCGACTTCGCCGGACGCCAGCGTTGGGCTCTGTCCTCGCAACGCCGAGGTGCAGTCAGTCACTGCGTGTTCGCACATTCAGTGCTCTGAGATCCAGCTCTACGCCTCGTCGAACCAGCCTTCTGAGCTCCCGTTCCTCGACCCTACCTGCATATGCCTCCTTCTCCCGAAACCAGCAGTTCAGCACGTCCCCGGTGCAGTACGCCGAAATAGTCGTCAAGGTGCCTCAGATGGCCGAGTCCATCTCAGAAGGGACTTTGAGTACGTTCACAAAGCAAGTGGGAGATTACGTCGAGCAGGATGAAGAAATTGCCTCGATTGAAACAGACAAGATTGATGTTGCGGTCAATGCTCCTGAGGCTGGTACGATAAAAGAGCTCTTGGTCGGCGAGGGCGACACTGTGACCGTCGGACAAGACATTGCAAAGATTGAGCCTGGCGAGGGCGGTGGCGGTGGAGCCAAAGAAGCGAAGCAAGAGCCCAAGGAACCCGCTTCGAAAGACCAACCCACCAGCTCAGATCCGGAGCCTAAGAAGGAGGAACCTAAGGAGGAGAAGAAAGAAGAGGCGCCTCCGCCTCCGCCGAAGGAGGAAAAGCCCGCGCCTCCTAAGGAAGAGAAGAAGCCTGCTCCGCCAAAGGAACAAAAGAAGCCGGCCGCAGAGGAGCCGAAGGGGATCACGTCGCCGTTCGGCCCAGGTACCAGGAATGAGAATAGAGTAGGGAAACGTACCCCCGACCCAGTGTTCAGCGTGACTAACTCTTGACAGGTGAAAATGAACCGCATGCGTTTGAGGATCGCAGAGCGTCTTAAGCAATCACAAAACACTGCCGCATCGTTGACAACCTTCAACGAGGTGGACATGTCGAACATCATGGAGTTCCGCAAGAGATACAAGGAAGAGGTCTTGAAGAAGACCGGAGTCAAACTTGGCTTTATGAGTGCGTTCTCAAAAGCCGCCATCCTTGCAATGAAGGACATCCCTGCCGTCAATGCATCCATTGAGGGTCCCGGAGGTGGCGACACCATTGTGTACCGTGACTACGTGGATATCAGTGTTGCAGTTGCCACACCCAAAGGCCTGGTAACTCCAGTGGTCCGAAATGCGGAAAGCTTAGATATGATCGACATCGAGAAGAGCATCGCAGAGCTGGGCAAGAAGGTATCTTTCTTTCCCTCTTGATACGGACCTTGATCGTTTTATCTGACTTGGGGACTAGGCACGAGATGGAAAGCTCACTATTGAAGACATGGCTGGAGGGACCTTCACCATCAGCAACGGTGGTGTCTTCGGCTCCATGATGGGCACTCCAATCATCAACCTTCCCCAGACTGCTGTCCTTGGCCTTCACGCCATCAAGGAAAGAGCTGTGGTTGTTGACGGTAAAATTGAGATCAGACCTGTATGTTGGACATGTTCACCACAAGTTTCTTTCCAGGGGACTGACGTGTGACAGATGATGTACCTTGCACTAACCTACGACCATCGAATGTTGGATGGTCGGGAAGCCGTCACTTTCTTGGTGAAAATCAAGGTAAGTCCACAGCTAAAGGTCCTTCTGTGTGGATTGCTCTAACAGATTTCACAGGAATACATAGAAGACCCAAGAAAGATGCTGATTGCTTGATTTGTTGGCGGTCCAAAACTTCTTTGTGACGGAATAGCATGCCGTGTTGGTTGTACAGAAGCCAGAATCCTTCGACTTTCTCTGCATCTGAGAGCGGATACTGGCATGGGACGCATGATCTTGTCGTGCACAATCCAAATTACATGAACACACATTTCTGATTGATCCACTGCTTCCGGACTGCATCTGATAACTGTTTTTCCGTCCATTTAACCTCACAGCAGAGATACAAATACATCCGGTGAATATATAAGCGTCTTTCGGGGAATCGGCTCCTGTGCCTTGAGAACCGGAAAGTCATTGACAGCTAACACCTTACACCAGGTCAGCACTGGGCACTGGAGAATTCACTACGATTCATGCACTCTGTTGTCATATTCCACGCATCGAACTACGTATGATTGTTGTCCGGAAAGCCATCGCGCAAGTGTATCCAGGAGCTACATGACGGTGCCGGGTGCCGGGTGCCGGTGCCGGTGCCGGTGATACGAACTGACAGTCCGAGTTGTAAACTCCTCGGCAGCAATAGTGGACAGTTTCGGTCCGGTTCCTGGATGATATTAATGAATCCGCTGGAGTGGATGGGAATGTAGATGTCGGTGACGGTCACCCTGGCGACGATGTTGGTAGTGTAATGTTCATGCTGGATGCCTTCACGTTTAAAGTGCTTGTAAGCTTGCCTCTTGTGAAGGTTAGAGTTGATGGGTTAATGAGTCGCGTGGGCTGGGCAACTACTAGTTTGATAGGCGTAGGGACCGTTTACGTGTATGGGTTGAGTGTGTATGGAGGGATGGTTCTCAGGCCCCATGTGATGGTTTGTTTCCTTGTCCATGTCTGGGTCTGTTGGACGTTGGAGTATTGATATGGCAGCAGCAGCAGTAGTGGTTGTCGTGCCCTTTAAGTTGTTGACAATCGGATATCTATTGGCGTTGCATACATAAAAGTATATACAGTAAGTATTCTATAATTATATTCGCTTCGCTCCACAGAGACTATTGCAACCACTTACAACGCCCAGGTACCCAACGTAGGTAGGCATCTATCTAACAGGTGCTGTCGAGCCTCCTGATGAACGTATATTACACCGTCTAGTCGACGAGGGCTATCGAATGAATACCTACCTAGTCATGACTATCCGACGATATTCAGAATGTATATTGTCTACGTTGACATAGCGGGAAGTTTCAAGTCACATCCATGGGCAGAGTACGTCAAAAAGTCACATCCAGCTTCAACCACATACATACAACACTTACCTATGCATACAGACAGTCCTTAACTACTCTATATGGCATGGCATGCCATACCTACCTGAGGTACCTGAGATACCTTAGGTATCGAGAAGCCTAGGTACTTATTATACAGCTATTGCCAATTAATGGTGGTATCGACAAAGCTCTGCATTGGAATCTATATGATGTTTCGATGAGACCGATCCCACGTTCTTGCATACTACCTAGGGATCTCAGATGGCCTTGCTGGACCCCTAGCTGGGTGTCGCCTCGCCGAGTCCAGTTCGAATTCGAGCCAAACACAGCGTGGTATGTCTTGAAACGTCTGTTCCCGAGCATCTTTTCAGACAGAACACTTGTTCAGCTTCTTCGACTTGTCTTGCCGACCTGGTTCCTGGCGAGGTCGAGCGTCCAGTCTCCAGGCTCAGAGCAAATTCAGGTTCAAGCATCGGCCTAACTGGAATTTCAAGGCCTGAAATAAGCATCAAATCCACCTTATCAAGAGATGGGAAACCCACAACAGAATATTCTGATACTCCCCATCCCCTGAACACGAACGGGGAGGGGCGTACGGACGAATATATCAATGCGCCAACACAATATTGATACAATACTTACACTCGCCTTTCCAGCAGGGGTTGAGGGGTTGTTCATCTCGCGACGAGTGAGTCGGTGTCTCGTCTCCTCCCTGCCTCGATGCTCCCTCGAGCTGGAGACAATCACAATTAGATCCCTTAGGTATCCCTGTTTCGAGTCATTGTTAGTTGAAAAAGGGATCGTGGGCTTCATTCTCATGTTGACTCATCTGATGATATATACCTGTGTGCCTGATATACATCCGTGACTCGCCAGGCTGGAAGATAGATCCAGATCCGTACCAGAGTAGTCAGTACTGCCTGCCTCATGACAATGATGCCCAAGACCAACTTGAACAGGACACACGGCCACAAACAAACTTCAGACGAGGCTGGCCGTGTCAGCTCGAGACGGGACAACCTCTTCCAGGCAGGAAACACAGTAGCAGACTCGGAGAGCAATATCAAAACACCAGAAATCACTCCGTACCTCGCATGCTGACATGCCGGATTGTTGCTTGAGTAAAGATAACTTGGGCCTCGGGAAAGCAATGGTTTTGTCAAAGGATCTGATGTACAGCTCGTAAAATGTAATGTAGCATGATGCACTTGTCGTTCCCCATCTCAGCTTCCCCTTTGTGTCTCTCTGTCTTCCACAATATCCCAACACTACAGGCCAGAAGAGGCAACGATGTATCCCAACCGTGCCCTTCTCCAGATGAGGCTGTGGAATTTCTTTGTTGCCAACACGGATCCAATGGTCACCCTCATTCGAATCCGCTCGGCTCCTCTTCCCCCATATCTCCTGCTCCGCAAGACAACAACCCACTAAACGTGCCAATCACTCTTCTCTGTACACAGCCCAGCCATCATTTTCACCGAACCACGCTCTTGCGAGACCGGCTCCGCTCTCTGTCGGCTGGCTGAAAGCGACCTGCTGGGGTTCGATTTCCATTCCATAGATGAATTGACTCATGACACATTCCAAGAGATTGTTGGCAATACCCTTGTGACGGAATGCCCGGCTAGTCCAGATGCGACTGACTCCAACCACGGCCGGGTAAGTTTCCTCGGAGATGGTGATACTGGACGAGGCAAAAGACGCCGTCGGGCTGGCAACCGGAGTCGGGATTTGCGGCTTCGGCGGATTCTCGGCCACTTGTTCGTGACTTGTCTCGGTGGCCGCAGGCGTTGCAGGACCGGCCGGTTGAACATGGTCGTTCAAGGGAATAGTTTCACTGGTCGCGGTTTCGCCTGGCAGGACTCGGTGTGCCTTGGTGATGCGCTCGGCGAGGCAAATGCCCACGCACTTGTCATCCACTATGTGCAAGAAAGCCTTGTATCGGTCACACTTGCGGGTTTGAGGGTCATCTTCTCTTTCACCTTCGAGAGCGCGTTGGCTCCAAAGTTCCTCCTCTTTGATGTCGACGCTTCCAAGCTCCTTGTTGACGATCTCCAGAACCTTTTGGACCGCTCGTCGGCCGGGTATGGCGATTTTCCGGTCCACAACCACGACACTACCGGGTATGTGGGGCACTTGGTAGCACCAACGCATTGCCGACTTAAGGAATGGTTTTCCCATTTCGATTCCGGAGCTGTGTCGGTTGTGATACATGTTGTGGAGTTGCGTGTCTTCGGGCAGTGAAGGCGTGTACGACATCTGACATTGAGGGCATGTTGTCGGCACGAGTGGTTGACCGAGGTCGAGGATGGTCTGAATAAGATGCTGTTTGGGTGCGGCCGGCTTGGAGGCCTGTGTCGATTGTCGCGGCGTTTGATCGAGATTGTGGACATTCGACGCGTCGTTGGTCGGAGGCTGCGCGCCTTGACCACGTGCACTCGAGTTGAGAATCTCGGAGAGCGGCTCAGAGTCCAGACGCGTGTTTGCGGCACTGTCCGGACCAGTCGACGGCCCTACGCGTTTCCGCTTCGCGCTCTTCTCTTTCTTTTCCTTTTCCTTTTTGGCCTTGTCGAGGAACGAGAACGTGGGTTTCCGTGCCTTGATGTTGGGCGGAGTGAGTTGTAGTTCTGGCGGAGGGGAGGATGGCGGAGTGATTGTGCTAGAACCTAAATCGTCCTCTTGTGATTCTGCAGAAAAGATGGTGCTATTCTTCCGCGAAGGCGACGAAGACAACGCCGCCACACTCGTTTCGCGAATGGCGCGTTCGAGACTGTCTTCCATGTCGACATCGTTCATGGTATTCTCATTGGCACCTGCAGCACAGGAAGAGGAATGCGCGTTCCAGGCATCGTTCAGGCGTTGGCGCTTTGGGGCGCGATAGTCTTCGCCATCCCAGGCGCGTCGAACATTGCGGCTGTAAGTACGCATGAAGAGACCCCTGACACAATGAGATATTAGCCAGTTCAATTGCAGGGGTGTTGAAGACAGGTCGCAGGCCGCATAGGAAGGGGGAACCACGTACCCTTTGTAACTATTGGTGACGGTGTAAGGATACACGACCGATGGCATCGTCGCGTCGTTGAAGACAAGTTGATAGTTGGGATTTGAGGTAAACACACGTCTGTAGCAGAGGAATGTAGAGCGGGTTAAGTTATGAAGCGTGCAGATGCAGTGTTTGGAATCCGGTGGAACGCGTCGTGGGTTGGGTTGAAGTTAGTTGAGGAGCAACTTTTTGGTTAGCGGGAGGCGGCGACGGTTTCGGGCTGACGATGCGGGCCGGGGGGCAGCAGGCAGGGAGGATTGTTGTGTGCAGCGGCGTGATTGTAACCGCAGTGGCTGTTTAGGATGGCTGCAGGTGTAAGATAATAGTGGTGCAGTGGTGAGAGTGAAGAAAGCTTGGGCTCCAAGGGGCCGCTTCCCAGTTCGAATTGGGCAACAATGGCGAGTTTAGGGGCGTGCAAAGGCGGCCGGCCGGTAGCAGGCTGGGGGCTGAATAACTGGGCACTGGGCACTAGGCACTAGGCACCCGGACGCTGGAGTGATCTGGCTGCACACCACCGGGGCACCGCCAACCCGCGATTGCAACTTGTGCCGAGGGGCGCCGCAGCTAAAGAAGCCGTGTGTGATCTCTCACTGGCAGCTTCACCTGCAGCTTCGACTTTCGGCGCCGCGAGCTGCGTTGTGCTTCAACTTCCCCTGTCAGTGCTCGCCTGTTCTCCCAAAACCGGACAGACTCTGTCTGCAGGTGTTTCTGGGGTACTAGTACCGGTGAGGCGAACCGGGATGATGGAACCGAAGGCGTAAAGGGGAGAAATAAGCCGTTGAGATCTTGGGTCGTTTGACAGGCACTGCAGAACACAGGAGACGACTCTGCACTGTGTGCAGCACCTGTTGAAGAAGTTGATATTTGTTCGAGAGACACTCTGGATGGAACAAGGGATGACGATATGTTATGTTCTTGTATGATCAATGACGGCGTCCGAGATGGGAACAAAGACCTTGTGGTGGATCGGGTGACAATATCTTGGTTGATCGCCTGAATAGTTGACAGAGATGATCAGCTTGAACTGGAGACGAGTGATGATATGTATCCGTTCGTGGTATAAGAGATAGGTGAGGCGGGAATGAGATGAGATGGGATGTCCCTGTGCTTCCCGAATCTTCAGGATTCCTCACGAGAGCCTTCTATAGTACCAAAGGCATCTATCTAAGATCCGCCCAGTTAGGCGTAGGCACTGCCTCCTGTAGCCTAAGGCTCCCAGGGCTCTGTTTTGGTCCTTTTCTGGAGTGACCTTCAAGTTTGCCTGCGCTAAACGGAGCACGTTGACTTCTGATGCTCTCGCCTTTGTTCTCAGTGCCCACTACTACCGCCCACAAGGCACTGACCATAACCCGGCCATCCTGCTGTCTCTCAGACACGCAATGCCTCGTGTAGGCCTTCCTTGCTCCATTCATCCTTGACCAGATCAGGGGTCTAGGCCTTCCAATCGAATGGCCCGGTGCTGACACCTAAAGTCGCTCATACCCAATCCCGGCCAATCTCTGGCCCCTTGATTTGATCCATTTGCAGGCATTGCGAATCACGGGAAGCATGGGTATCTGTCGCAGAGTCGAAGGATCCTCTTGCCCGCCCCTTAAAAGAAAGACGGCAGCAGGAAAGGCGAGCTCGCCACCTGTGCTTCCTGCTCAAGCACCGATCATCTAATACTCGCTCTGAGTTAGTGTCAGACTGGGGATCGAGATCACGATTGCGGACCAATCCCTCCCTTCCTCGCCCGTGAGGACCCGACTAACCTAGCCCACCCACTCGTCCACCAATACCGAGAGTCCTCCCGAGGGAAGCTCCGTGCTGGTAAATGCTTCCAGAGTACGCCGTGCAGTGTCCGAGAACGAGCTGGATGAAGATGGAGTTGAAGCATCACTAGGTAGGTACGGGTGAGAGATTGAGTGAAGGTTATGCCAGGCCAGCGTCCCGTATCTGGCCATTTTGTCATCTCATCCACCGAGACGTCCAACGACGCTTGTCTCTCCCCGCTGTTCTGACTTCAATGGCCGACTATCAGGCTGATCTCCTCTCAAGTCGGATACGAGGTCTACAGGAGAGCAGGGACAACACATGCGCCAGCAACCAAACAATCCTGCAGTGTGCAACATACACGAAACCATCGAGCGTGTAGCACAGGGCCTAAAGCAACCAATAGCACATCAGAGATTCATACCCCCAATGAACCTGGTGCCACGTCACCTCAGTCATAGGTCGGCTGTGAAGTGGCCGGAGATCTTGGGATGATGGAAGCCGCAGCGTTAAGGCAGCATGGACCGCAGGAAGCGTCTGCCTTGAACAGGACGAGTCGCAACAGGATCAAGAAGCTGGTTGCATCTACCTAGGTAAGCGCACCACGCTGGCAATCGCTGGCCCCCATGCACATTTCAGAGACATGCATTTAGAGGACAGTGTCGACCATCCATGATTCCAGTTTCCATGAAGTCATGAAATGGGGTTTATCTCCAAGGAGCAGATCACAGACCTGGAGTTGAAGCGGCTGACATGCCACAAGCTTTGTCAAATACTTCAGCATTGGAAATAGTGCGCGTCTTCTGCTTGGGATTTGCTTCTTCTGACAATGTCGACATCTCTCATCACAGCTGGACTCGGACCATCCAGGCTCACTCGTCAATGTGTGAACACAAACCGAGGGTTTTCGTCCCCCATTTCCGCAATTGCTTCTTCTGTCTTTCCGACCATCCTCTCATCCTCCTTTCCAGCCTGGCGCTTCTTGTTTCGAGCTATGAAATACACCGACATACCCGCGTAGATCACCGCGGCCATTGCAACCATGGCGAGGGATACAGCGTGGCCTCGAATGTATCTAGGCGCGTCGGTGGTCTTGTAGAGCTATCATGCTCGTCAGCACAAAGGCATGAAAGGTCAGAAGCTTGTCAGAGGGTTCCTGTACTCACAAATGGCGCCGAGATACCGGCAGCGTTACCGACAGTGAGCTGGATACCTGACGCGGTGGTGCGCTTGCCATACCGCGGAAGGTCTGCGGCAGGTCAGCCCGTTTTGATGGTACAGACTGATCAAAGATGAAATGCTGCTCACTTGACGGTAACCATGCTAGTGGAATTCCCACGGCAACATAAAGACCCATGGAAACCAAGAAACAAGCGAAAAAGTGGACGCCCGCGCTGACAGGAGTCATGAGGATGATATATCCGATTATGCTGACGAAGGCAAAGGTCACTGCTGCAAGGGCACGGCGCTGGAATCTGTCCGAGAGCCGAGCTACGACAAGGTATGTGATAGCACCGAGGGCGTAGCATGGAACTGTAAGTGCCTGCGTTTGCGCTGTTGACCATTTGCCCAATCCCTTGATGATGGTAGGAAGAAAGGTTGAGTAACCATAAAGCATAGTATCAACCCCAAACTGGTGGACGGTCAGAGCAAGCGGAACTTGGCTGATGTTGTACGGCCAACTTACCTGGCCAACAGCGAACATCCAAATCCTCCAGTCCTTGAATGCCTTGATTACATCTTCCTTGTGCAACAGATCAGCGGATGAGGTGTGGCCTACCTGGCGACGTTTTCGGATCAACATCAACTCCTTTTCCCCGTTGGTGAGGTAATACGCTGTCTCTGGGTCGTCGGCGAGCCAGAAGTAGACCGCGATTCCCAGTACAAAGCTGGGAAGGCCTTCAATGATCATGATCCAACGCCATCCCTTTTGTCCGTCGACACCATCCATGAAACCAATACCATAGGCAAGCAGACCGCCGACACTGCCGGCCAGTGCAGCTGACACGAACAGGTACCCTACGCGGAGAGCAAGTTCTTTCTTGGTGTAGAACAGCGTGAGATAGATTGTCATTCCTTGAAAGGATCAGATATTCAGGGTCAGACAGCGAGGAGAAGCCCACATCATCCGCGTACCTGGGAAGAGGCCTGCTTCGACGGCTCCGAGAAGGAGACGGCAAACAATCAATCCCCCATAGTTTTGCACCAGGCCTGTCAACGTTGCTATGATGCCCCAGCTGGTGGTTATGAAGGCCATCCACCGAGAAGGCCGTAACTTCTTGAGAACAAGGTTGCTGGGTGTCTCTGCGAGTACATATGTTACGAACAACAAGCTCACCGCCGTCTGATACTGCGATCCATGCAGACCCAGATCCTCTTCCATGCCGTACAGCCTCGCGTTGCCGATATTGACCCGGTCGAGAAACGAGAATAAATATAGCAACATGGTGGGAGGGATTATGTAGAGGTCGAGCTTGCGAACCAGGCGAGCTTCAGCGGCATAATCGATCGTTGGCGAAGTCTCGCCGTCCTCAAGGGAGGCCGGAACGATGTGGGAAGAGGACGGCTCTTCATGCTGTCTCTCGCCGCCCTTCTCGTCGATGTCGTCGACCGACATCACAGCTCGCCGAGTGGGACTCGAATCATTTCTGGTGGCCATGGGGCGCACAATGTGACCGAATATCAAGCCAGAGACTGCACCGGATTACGATGATGGTTTGATGCGTAAGTTGTACTGCAATACTCAATGAAGCGCGGCCGCACGATCAAAGTTGTCGAGAGTTGGTATCATCTGAAACTCGACACTCTCCAGAGGACCTCAATTGGAAGATATCATGATGGGGCTGGACTGATAGCAGCTCATCGACAGCCAGGAGGAGTGGTGGAAGAAAGAGAAGGGCGACAATCTCATGTCAGCTCATCCACTCTCCTTCAGCAGATAAATGCATACCGTCTTGGGTGGTAGCACATACAGTGTAATGCTACAGTCCAGCAGCCGGCCGACTGGCTGATTCTCGCAAAGCCAAGTAACGTGGAGAATCAAGCTCGCACTGTTACGGTATACACTCAACCCAGATGACGCTGGCCCAGAATTGTGGCCGTCAAACGCGAAGTGGGTGTGTAAGGTAGGTAGGGATTGATTACAGTGGTGGATTCCAGTTCCCCAGAACAACAGGTGATCGACCGCGGGGGGAGGCCAATGACCTGGCCTAGGAGGCACTTGGGGCGTAAGGGCGTTGAAGATATGGGGAAGATAGGACCATGGCGGCGAGGTTATGGAGTGTCAGAGCATCGGATAAGATGACCTTTGTTTTAGGTAGCTATACTACCTACGTACTGTACTTAGGTACCTGGTAGAGAAGCTTAGATCCCTAAGGCATGCCTCCCTAGCCCAGCACTACCGACCTAAATACCTGGGAGGCAGGCCTAAGGAGCCTTAAAGCCTCCTTAACCCTCAGTCCTAAGGTATCTGATAAACACCTAGGGCCGTAGGTGAAACATGCGTCATGCTGCAGGCTGCGCCTCGTCTGCGGAATCAGCACTATGATTATTTTGGGCGATTCGGACTGCATCAATCGCGTCCATTGCATCCATCCATCCACCGAATTCACCTCCAGCCGATATACATGTTAGGCTCCCAGGTTTTGTTGACTCTGTTTCCGCCTAACTGCACATCTTGAACACGTTAAGTATTGGCGACGGTGGCCCCCTTTCCTAGCAAATGCCGGCAACCTCATCAATTTGAAGCTCAGTTTGCTGCTCTCATGCTGATTCTACCGCGTTGACATTTTGATGTGTTTCCTGCGCCCTGGCCCTCACGCCCACGCTGCTGCGTCTTCTTGGCCATCAACATCAATCTCGACGTGACACATGAGTGCACCCATCGAAGCTCGGTCGATATCTTCCCTCAGCACTCTCCTCGCCAACCCTCCCCAATACCCACGAAATCCCACCCATCAAGTCCATGACTCCCTCGTCCTCTACATTGTTCGGGTGCCGGGCAGCCAAGGTGAGATAGACGTGAGAAAGATGCCCAAGAGATGGACACACATTAAGTCTGGTAGATGTTTTCCTCACCCCGCTCAAGCCGCCTACCAAGACCTCCATAAGCATTGACGCCGTCCAATCGAGTCTCTATTTCCTTCATGTGGAAAGACCTGAAGATGGAGAGCTGCGCCAGTCTATCGAGGCCACCAAGGCAGCTGAAAGTCGCAACAATGAGAACATCCCCATTCAGAGAAAGCCTCTTCCTCCTGCACCTCATGCGAACTACCCTTCCTCCCAGCGGCCTGACACTCCACCCAAGAGCTATCCCTACCATCAGCCCCCTCTGGCCGGCTCCCAGACGGCGACTCAAGCTGACCGCTATGCTGCCAGAGGCAGTCACCTGAGGCTGCGCACCTCGGAGCCAATGAATCAACTAGGTATCCCACGCAAGCCGGTTGGGGCACGCCCCCTGCCGGCGCGGCCAAATGCTGACCCATCCTCCAGCATGACAGACCAACAGAGCGGTGAATCCCAAAGCCCACTTGACAACGAGCATCCAAAATTCAGACTGGCCCGGAAGCCGATTCAATCGGCGTCACCAACCGATGCGTGTCAGCATACTCGTGCAGACCGTCGCTCTGCATATTGCGACGGTTACAGTCCACAGCCACCGGGCCAGGAGAGCGGTGTCCCTGCTTCTAGTCCAACCGAAGCGGAACTCGGTGCATCCCCTGACACCCTACGTATCACCTTGATTCGTAGAGACCCGTCCTCTGGCAGCCAGTGGAACGTGGGAAGCATACTCTATCGAGGAGCGGTGGCACGGGATTCACCCTTGAAGAGTTTCGAGATCGAACTTACCTCTCCAGGATATGTCAAGTTTGCCCAGCTGGAAGGCAGCTCAGGCAATGGCTTACATAGGCGAGTGGCCTACATGCTGCTCCCTAACACTGAAGGCTCGCCTGCGACAAGGCAGCGAAGCAACTCTTCTGAATTGTTCCTTACGGGCAATAGTGCTTCGAGCAAGCGACCGCGTCAAGCCTATTCATTCATGTCACCATGGCAGGGAATGTGCTCTTTCAGCAATGGATTGGACGGCAAAAGCATACGATGTCGGCATATGCTGCCATCTGCTAATCCGTCCATGGCCGCGATGCCAGCTGACGTTGCAGAACTGCGCTTCAATCTGCCATGGTCAATTCTTCGCCTCAAAGAGCCCAACAGAAAGGACAAAGACATTTCAGAAAGGTCGCCCGATGCATCGACATCCCAGCCCGCCGCTGCCTCGAACAGGGAACACTGGAGACGGAGTTTCCAAGCGCTGACCCACAAGGCGCGGGTACAACTTTCCCAACTCGAAGACGGCAACGATATCCAGCGTAGACTACACAGAGAAGATCCAGCTGCGTCTCACAGGTTGGCTAGGGAAGATCGCATGGATCTGGCTCTCGGCCAAGAGAGGGCTGGAGGTGGTTTCAAGGGTCAAAGTGCCAAGTTGGGCAAGCTGATCATCGACGATGAGGGATTGAAGATGTGTGATCTGGTTGTGGCCGCGAGTATGGGAGTTTGGTGGCAGCATTATGCCGGGGACACGTCGCTATGAGCACCATCGTCACCATTAGCTTTGTTGTTTGGGCATGGAGTCTGAGCCTATATAATCATCCGATAGCCGGGTAAGAGTACAATTCCTCTGGGGGAAATAAACTCGTTGTATCCTGGAGAAGATTGATACATGCTGCAGGCTTACGCTCTCCTCTCATCTGCTCTCAACCAAGTTCCAGGTGCAGGCCCCAGGCGCCTCTAGGCTGACCTGTCAATGTCCAGTCTCCCTTCGTAGATCCAGCTAGAAGAAAACAAAGAGATACAGGCGTCCTGATAGACCGTTCACCTGCTCAGACCTTATTCCCAACAGCAGCCATCTCCACCTGCATTTCACCGGCCTTGTCTTCCGCTTCCATCACAGCCTCCTCGACGGCCAGCGTAGTCTCATCCACGAGCACGACTTTATCGCCGAACGCAGCGGCGATTTCTTCGAGGGACTTTTGCTTCGTTTCCCTATACGTGGCGGACAGACAGAGTGTGTTAGCCAAACATTGAACACCGTGGTACAGCAATGACATCAAAGAATGGTTGATCAAGCGAAATGCAATGAAGAATGTCACTACCACCATTCTACACCGAACAGGTGGATAGATGATGGGTAGAAAAGATGGATGGCAGGACGAGAAGGAGAGATGGGATAGATAGACAAGCCAGCCAGCCTAACTTCTCGACGTTTCTTCTTCTTTTTCTTCGTCTTCTTCTTTTTCTTCGTCTTCTTCTTTTTCTTCGTCTTCTTCTTTTTCTTTCCAACGTCCCGAAGGGTTAGGGTGTTTGTTTGACTTAACTTACGGGAAATAAAAATACGCAATGACCAAGAAGAAAATCGAACATCCCACAAAGACGTAGTAATAGCTTTCATGGATGTTGGCGAACGCGCTGGGCCCGGCTTCGGTGACTATCCAAGTACAACACGTTAGCATTGGCCGGTAACTTAGTTACCTTCACATAAAACATTGATGTCTTGACCGGGAAGGGGACTTTTCACTCTGGGATTCAGATCCCAGAAAGACACGAGTCGATTGAGATATCGTCTCGGACACTTCCTTCATTTTCCTTCCCGATGAGAGGATAAGTGGGAAACTCCACCCCCCGGTGTATGCATGGTCTTGATAACGGAATGTAGCATGCAGTGACAGTGAAAGAGTGCAACAGTAACACTTACTAGCAACATTGACGATAAAGTGTGATGCCGCTGCGAGACCCATGACTTTAGACCGCAGAGCGATAGGGAGGACTTCGGCGCCGTAGAGCCATGTTGTGCTGTTAAGCATGCCGTCTACAAATCAAGAAGAGTAGGGTTGTCAGCATATGTTCATGACCAGAGGCTCCGTGGTGCTCAAAAGTATCCTGGCAAGACGGGGAAAAGAGGACCAGAAGAAGAGTATATTAACTCTTCCAAGGTCCAGACATGATAGTATTAGGGAATTGAGGTTAGGAAAGACTCTAAACTCACAATATGTCACGACGAAGAGATAGATGCCCAAGACAGCGAAGCCTTTGCCGACTTTGTTGTCGGTGTTCTGGAATTTGCGCTGCATGACGGCCGCGTAGATCTCGATGATGATGATGCCGGTCAAGCCGGTGAGCATCATTCTGTGACAAAATGGAATGTCAGCGTTCGCTTTCAGAGACATTTCTCCAACTGGACGCGAAGTTGGACTTTGATGGCTCTTGCCAGAAAGGAGAAAAAAATGCCTGATGCACGCAAATCAGCCGGCTGGGTGTCGGGTAGAAACATACTTGCGACGACCCCACTGGTCAGCGAGGAATCTGGTGGTGAGGACATTCGAAGTGAATGCAATGGTGCCGTAGATGGCGGCGAGGATGAGGATCATGTGGCTGCTGATTCCGAGAGATTTGAACAGGATTGCTGTGCAGGTGCACAAACGCGTTAGAATTAGAGATATGGAGTGGTTGAGCCACCATCCTGGCAAACTGTGGACCTACTTTGATAGTACTACAGATAGAACTGGTCAGTCAAGGTTCGTCGAGCGGTGCGGAAATTGTCAACGATAGATTGAAAGTTGAAACGAGGGTTCGCTTACCTGAATGACATTTACACCCGTCAGGCTGGTCATGGTCTGGACTGCGACAGATCTAGCAGGAAGAGGAGAATCAGTAGTGCAACAGCATGGAAAAGTAAGTTGTAAGATCGGAAGGATGAAACATACACCAGCGCACGATGTCTAAAGAGCTTGAACACCTCTTTCAGCGACTTGATCTCCCGCTGCATTTCGAATTCGATCTGGCTCCGCATGTGGATGAATTCCTCATGCACCTGGGGCCCGTCGAGGTCGCGCCGCACCCTCATGAACTGACGACGAGCCTCATCGATCTTGCCGCTGCGGACCAACTGTCGAGGAGAGTGGGGCATGAAGGTCACCAGACCGATGAACATGATGATACCCCAGGGGATCTGGATGCCGAGAGGCAGTCGCCATTGCGTGGGCCCGTAGGGGGCATACGAACACGCAGCACCCACCCAATTCGAGGCCATTGTGCCTAGGGAAATGCCGCAGCCTGAAACGCCGCCAACGAGGCCACGATTGTGAGGAGCAGAGATCTCGCTGAGGTAGATGGGAACCGTGGCAACCATGCCACTGGATTTTGGTCAGCTTATGCAAGGTGTGAAGCGTTACAGAGGAGAGTCTGGACAGACCCAACAGCATAGCCGGCGAGCACTCGACCAGCAAGAAACATGCCGATATTCTGAGCGGCGGTCTGGATGACGGTTCCTGCCGTGACGATGATACACATCAGCTGCATGAAGCGTAGGCGACCGAGTTTGTCGCCGATTATTGTTTGGGTCAATGCTCCGCCAGCCTCGCCGGCAATATAGACGGCGACAACCTGTGTTTCGATGTAAGCGATTGGAACATGAAACGCTGACATAACATCGGAGCCCGTCGTACTGCGCCGGTCAAGCCCTTTGAGGGCTTGTTCATATAGTCAATCCAGCTTTGGTGGGCGATCGCTAGAGTCTGATCAGTATATACCGTATAAGAGACTCCTTCGGGCTTCTCACTGGTGGTTGCGATGCCGGTATCAAACCCCTGGTCGTCAGCCTTGTCAGTATGGCTGCACCCTCGTTTCTGGCAGAAGAAGTCCTTACGAATAGAAACGTGCCGATGGCAGCAAAGAAGGCTACACCCAGGGTATACCATGCTGTGCCCGCCATTGTGACTGAGAGGCTCGTCTGGAAGAGCTAGTCTCCGATTTGGATGTCAAGGGAGTCGTAAAGGATGGAAAAGGACGTAAACTAGACAAGAAGGAACAGAGCAACTGCATGAGATCCCAGGAGTATCATATAGAGGCTGGCGACTGGCAACAACATAGCACGCGTTGAGCTACCATCGGTCGATCGCCGAAGGGCTGGTTCACCCCCCGGATTTCGTTCATTGAATGTATAGAAAGCATGGAGAGAGCGGGGGACTCACCGATGCCCCCACGGGCTCGGGACAACGAACGGCGACGTCAGGTGGGCACCCCTGGATTGGGAGGTTCCGTAGCCATCGATGAACGCTTTTGCGAAGCCGGTGCAAAAGCAATTGATAGGGAAACCAGAAACCAGAAACCATCTCACCAATCGCCTATCACGGGGTGACCAGGGGACAGGCTGTGGGACCGTCTTCTCCATGATCCAGGTCAGACGATACTCTAGCGGCAGAAGCCAGCACCTTGCAGTGGTGTAGAAACTGGAGCCTTCAGTTGTCTCTCCAATCTGATATCCCGTCAAGCTGGGGATGATGTCTGGAGGTGTGGGGGAATCGAGACGACTGAGACTACAGACCGGGGTGAAGCTGGAGAACTTTCACTACCTATGTTCTACTGGTCGTCAGTACTAGCTCGCTGGGTACATTGCTAGAATGCTGGGATTATCCGCTAGTCTCTATCCAGCCACTAGTGGCTGCAGCTATCAAGAGTGATTGGTTGAAATAAGACTAGCTGCTGTAAGTAGACACTAGATAATAAGCTCCGCTCCCTCGTGCCAAGCCTTGCCATCTCGGTGCAGCTCTGACCGGCCGGAGGAGGGTTTCATATCAGGGCGGAATGAAGTGATGGACAGGCTACACACTCGCTGCTTACCAGCACAGAGCGGAAACAGCTGGATAAGCTTGCACAGGTGCTCTCAACTATGCGGCCGGCGGCGAAGACCGAGGACAAGGCGTCGGCTATTGAAGGCGAAAAGTTGGCAGGCTTTCATTTACCATCGTGTGATTACCTGTACTTTGTGTTCTGGACTACCTCATGTATGGTATCAATTCCACATATTCGGGCGATATTTCCTTATCTTCATCATGCCTTGCTTTTTCAGACCTCAGTTCCTTTTTGTGTTGAACCAGCGGGTATACCAATGTACCCGTTTTGTCTGACCAGATTGTTGAAAGACTCTGGCGACAAATGCTGCTAGAAATAAGCACGCAGATATGCACACGCCCAACCCAAAACCTTACCCTACAGAATCACGCATACCGGAGCTCATCCATCATGGCTCACCCCAGATTTCATCTGCGATTTCTCGCACCAGAGCCAATTTGGCCCTCTGATCCTCGTCGGACAGCGGGTACCCCGTCTCGTGGGTGCTGAAGCCGCACTGCGGGCTGATGCCGATCCTCTTCAAGGCCTCCTCTCGAGTCTGGTTGGACCCTTCGGCGACAAATTCGGCAGCCTTGTAGATCCGCTTCTTCATCTCCTCCTTATCCTCCAGTTCCCGCAATTTGGTGCTGATACAGCCGATGATGACGTTTTTGTCCTTGGGCAGGTATTTCAGGGGCTCAAAGCCTCCTGCTCGTTCGGTATCATATTCGAGATAAAAGGTGTTGACGTTGAGGTTTTCAAACAGTTTCTTCGCGATGATGTCGTAGGCTCCCTCGGCGAAATGGCGCCCGCCGATGAAGTTGCCTCTGCACAAGTGCACTCCCGTATGCATGTCGGCAGGGCACTTGGAGATCGAGTCGTTGTACAGGGCGATATAGGCGTCCAGAAGATCATCCGCGCTGCCGATGTTGTCGGAGTCCTGGTCCCAGCCATTGCGGAAATCCTTGGAGCAGAAGTCTGGGGTCGAGTGTGTCAGTTGTCAACCTCGGTTATTGTGTCAAGAAAATGGCAGTCTTTGGAGCACTTACAGGCGAGACCTGGGTCGTCGAACTGGACGTTGCGGAGTCCTGCTTCGTACAGGACCTCCAACTCCTTCTGGTATGCTTTGGCGACGTCCTTGAAGTATTCGGCATCGTCCTTGTATGCCTCTGGTGTATAAGCGCGACCTTGCTTGTACCTCATGTGGAACCACTTTACCACGGGGAAAAGGTCAGTTTTAAGATCCTCATATCTTGCGTGGAACTGGCGACCCCAGAACCTCCGCCACAGACTTGACTTACCGCCGGTGTAATCATGGTAAGCTTGATGTTGCCCCATTCTTCTTTGGGGACAGCTGCCTGAACCAGACGCAATTCATGCAGATTCGACTCGGTTCCCTTGTGCTGAATCTTTCCTCCGGCAATCACGGAGTCGCCGGGCATGACCTTACTGCCCTTCTCGATCAGACTGACCACATCAGGATGGTACAGTCGAAACATGCTGGCTTCGGCATCCTGTAGACGAGTGGTCCCTTCGAGCTCATCCCAGAACAGACCCCAGAAACGTGTGCGGTTGTATTCTCCGCTCGTCACTCCTTTAAACCCTAGGTCAAGCTGAGTCTTGACAATCTGGGCAACTGCTTCTCTCTCCACTTCAGGAAGGCCGGCTTCTTCAGGCGACAAGTTCTGCTCTCTGATGGTTGTTCGGACGTCCAACAGCCGCTGTGGCCGGAGTAGAGACCCCATGTGCTCCGCCCTGAAGGGCGGTTGCTGATGCAGCTTGGAGTCCGCCATGTTGGATAACTTGAATGTGGCAAGTAGTACGTAGTGGTCTCTTTACTCTCTTTACCTGGACGGAAGCAGTATCAATTGATCGACAAGGAGACAATAAATATAAATAATATAAAAACAACCGCCAAACCCTTGCTGTCTGCTATGTCGGGCTGTATTCGGTATGAACTTGAATGAGGCTAACAGACTCGTGTGGCAACTCGACCTTCGCAATATTTTCATTGCCCCCGCACAAATTTTAGGCGACCGACTTTTCCCTCTTTCTCCTTTTTCTCCCGCGGTCTGGACTCGCTTGCGGCCAAGTTTATTACTACAGCGTATACAGAGCATCCCCGCGAACCTCCACCCAGGTCATTGCATCGAATGATCCTCCGAGGTCGCAAATGCGGCGAGATCAAATCTAGGAGCAGAATGAAGCAGGTATCGGTGGCAGATCTCTGGAAGAAGCTTTAGATAATACAGACATTATTCTCCTTGATCACTGGGCTCAGGCATAGGACAGCCTGAACGGCTGTTATTCGCAGAAAGATTCTTGATGGCTCGCCTCTCCTCGGGGAGCCGCTTTTCATACACCTAGTATCCGAGTCAGACTGATGCATTTTAATGTGCATAGTCTTCGCTGTGGGACCTGCTTCAAGAAATAGACGCATCTATCTCTCCGACCAGTTGTCAAGTTCTCCTTTTCCCCTCGTTCGCTCTACGGGATTCGTTGTCCCCCGTCAATGTTGACCATGCTTCTTCCGATCAATCTCGAGCTAGACTGAGGAGACCAATACGGGTATCACGCATGCCTCCCAGGATACAGCTGGTCTAGATTCGATGCTTTTCACTCTCTGTGTCAAAATTGTCAGCACGCAATTTCAGCTTTGTCACAAGATAGATTCAGACGTACCCAATCTCGAATACAGCATGTACAGGGCCATCTGGTTGCACTCTTGAGTCCCAGTAATGGTGACCAGTCGCTCGTTGCTGTTGTCTTGCGGCTCATTGATTTTGATGACGCTGCCGCTGAGGTGACGGATCTCATTGATCTTAGCACCGCCCTTACCAATGATGGCACCGACCATGTCGTTCGGGATGAAGATTTGCTGGGTGATGGGTTGACCAGGCATTCCTTGAGCAGCCGCGGGCACGGGTTGTCCGTGTGGACCAGGCTGGGGTGGCACTTGACCATATGGCCCTGGCTGAGGAGGAACGGCTCCGTAGCTGGGAGTACGAGGGGTGGCAGCATATGGTTGCGGGTAAGGTGCATATGGTTGCGGAGCAGCTCCATGCACCTGAGGGGCGCCGTAAGGCTGGGCGGGCGTGCGTTGAGGGGGGACGGTATTGTGTCTCTTGTACGTGTCTGGATGACCAAACTGACCTCCAGCGGGCTGAGGGACGTACGGCACGACTTGCATACCACCCGGGACCACACCTGCAGGACCTCCGCTTCTCGTGGCATAAGCAGACGCGGCAGGACCGCCGAATCGTTCAGTCAGCTGCTCAACCAGCGTCACAGCAACGTAGTATGTGGCAATGTGCACGGCATCAGCAACTCCCAAAACCACCAGGGATCGCTCAGTTGAGAGGGGCAGGCAGGAATCAGAGGCATTGAGGCGAGCTCCAGAAGCCTCCTGTATCTCTCGAATACGAACGCCGGATTTGCCAATGATGGAACCAATCAGGATATGTGGAATCAACAGGCGTAGGGGATAAGTCTTGGACTGAGCAGTGGAAGGAGCATCGAGAGGTTCATTGTTGAGAGTGCGAATAATGAGACCGAAGGCCTGCCCAAATTAGTATCACCAAAACTTCGTCGAGAGGATACAATACATACCTTGGATACTGCCTCTTGCGATCCGCTCACGGTGAGAATTCGTTCCACAGCGCCACGGGAGTAGTCACTGACGGTGCATTTGGCCCCAGAGAGCTTTCGAATTTGAGTTACGTTTTCACCGCCTTTTCCGATGCACGTTGCAGCTTCGGCGCTTGAGATGACTGCACGGATATGTATCCAATTCGTCTCATCCTGTGACGGCGCTGAAGGACCGTTAGAAGAAGATCGATCATGTTGCGGTGGAGCGGTCATCGGCAGGAGTGTCTGAGGGTCTGGGAGTGATGGTGCAGTAGTGCCATTGGTTGTTGCCGGTGCGGCCGGTTCAGGATGTGCGTCTGCGTCTGAAGCTCCGTTCGTCACAGGAGCCGGCAGAGCTTGCTCTTCGGTTGTCTTTGCACCCTCTGCCGAGATGGTCTCACTACTGCCCGAGTCCTGCACCGTGGTGTCTTCTTTGACTGGTTTGTCAAGTGCTGGGCGTTTGGCATCTGGTAGGTCAGTGGGAGCGGAGGGTGACGAAGGATCTTCCAAGGGTCGTTTGGCCGAAGACATTGCGGTGGTAGAGGTGGGTGATGCAGACATTTCTCGCGTGTGACTTGAGGAAAGCAGTCACCAGGATGGTATGAGTTTAGATTCTTTATTATTGTTCTCTCGCGAAAGGCTTTATGTACACCAGGGCGTCGAAGGAAAACTTGCTGGTGCAGACAGGGGATCGATAGAGCCAAACGGGAGGAGACGGTGAGAAGAGTATGCTTGAGAGAGTTCGTGCTAGGATTGCGTGGCGGGATTGAGGCAAGCTGGATGTTCTGCAAGTTCCGAAGAGGTGCAGGAAAGGAGGTGAGGTGGTGAGCGGAGGTGTGAAATGGTTCAACGGAGGAGTCGTAGGTAGCAGGAGGATGTGAGGTGAAGGTTTGATTGTAAAGCAACGCCGCGAAGATGCACCCCAATTTCTGATCCTAGCAGGCCGAGGGCGAACCAGTACTTAACTCAGTCGACCAACGTCGATGAAGGAGGAAGAAGAGGAAGAAGATTGTCGATGCGAGGATGGAAGGGAGGAGAGGTGTAGACGTGTAGATGTAGACTCGTGGCAGTGGTGGAGGAGAAAAGGAGCAGCTTGACAGACGCGACAGGGTGGGAGAAGAGGTGTCGCAGCGAGTCCAGTGTGTGTCTTGTCTTGTCTCTTTCTGGTTGATGGAGATCCCACTCGCAGATTTGGCAGGTGGAGCGATCGAGGTGCGAACGGGCGTTGGATGAACAGATACTTCTGATGCGCTGATGAACAGAAGAGGAGCAGAGGCGAGCTCGCGGTCGACAGATGATCAATATGCCTTGATCAGAACCCAGTCAAAGCTTCCTTGTTGCACCTGTGCATTCAGCGTTGTGGTTCAAGTGGTAGAGGAGACTATTGATTTGATCTGATCTGATTCGCATTTGAGATGAGGAGATTTTCCAGGGTCAAGCAGTAAAACTGCAGTGGCAGTTTTTGGCAGTTTGTCAGTTTTACTCTGCACTAGGTACCTAGGTAGTTGTCAGTGGGTGGAGAAGAGAAGGGAGAGAGAAGCAGAGACAGACTCGGATGCAGTGGGGACAACAGGCTTGCCAGTGAGGACTCCTCAGGCCGCGGGCTTGTCAAGGGGCGCCTTCCTGCTTCCTGACGCGCTCGTGACACCCCGTGACTCTAACAAGCGGTCAAGACACCAGCGCAGTTCAAGTGGCACTGCACGTGATACGATCAGCGCTCTACGAGGCTGCGGTACACATACCTACTGCCACTGTACTGTGGTATGAAACTTGCACAGCTGCACTCATGCTCCGATATCTATGACGGACAGTCTGGATCACTGTCTGCTTGTTTTCATTCATGGAAATCTAGCTAATACAGTTCCCACCACGGGGTTGCAGGCCTCACTTTTCCAATGCGGCATTCTTCAAGCAACCCGCCGCGGCCCTTATGGTGAGCTGTGTTTGGGACTCCTTTCCCTTTTCCCTTTTTCCCTGTTCACTTCTTGTTTGCCGCGCTCTTGCGCTTCGCCTCCAGAACCTCCTTCAATACAGTTGCCGCTTCTTTGCGACGACGTGCCTGTGCTTGCCATCGCTCCTTGTCCTCGCTCGACAGGAGACCCAGGCCGCCGTTTTGGCTGGCTCGGAAACTCGTCCTTGATCGCGTACTGCTGCCAAACTTGGAATCGGGGGTATGGTACACACTGCCAGGTGTTCCGCCGTTCACCGAGTTTCTAAATCGATGAGGAGTTGCCAGGACACTCTCTCCGTTCGAAGCATGGCCGTTACTGACGGTTGAAGACGCCAGAGACAGATCCATCCGCTTGAGTTGCGCCTCCAGAACATCGATGTCTGCACTCTTTTGCTCTGCCATCGACATCATCTTTGATACCGTCTTTGTTACCGCTTCCACAGTAGGCTTCTTCTGCGACGGTGTTCTACCAAGCATGCTGGAGCGTCGGTTGGCCGTATCCGCTGGCGTTGACTGCGCGATCTTGGCGCGCAGAACGGAAACGGCGTCTTCAACTTCCACAAGCTTGGCCTGCACCGAGGTGAAAGTCTTGCGCAGATCATGCTGGATCGACGACTGCTCGGCCGAAAGAGGGGCTGCAATGGCACTGTCCTTTGCCGAGAGAGCATGGATGGTCTTCCGGATGGTCGTCAGCTTGGTCCTCAGCTCGAACAGATCACGTCCCAGCAGAGCCTGGCATTGTTGAATCTTTCCTCCAAAGTCATCGATGTTACTTTCGGCTAGCAGGTCGGAAAGAGCAGCTTGTCCTTCGTGCAACCGCGTTATATCGCTCAAGTACCACTCATCATTGAGGGCATCCATTGGTGTCTCGGATTTGAGCACTGAGGGCCATGATTGATTGGTTGCATCCGGTTGTTGATATCGCATAAACGCCGACAGTGAGCGACTATTGATCCCCAGGGTGTACACCATTGAATTGATGTCAGAATACAGTCTTTCAATCTGAGCCGGTATCCCACTTTTCTTGCTCTCTTCCGCAGGCTTTGGCTGATAAGTGATAAAGTCGTCCAGCGTCTGAGTAGGCGAGGCCGGTCGTTCAAGCTCCTGCCGCAGGAGTTCATCTTCGTCATCCTCGAGTGGCGCAAGCTGCTCGGCTTCTGCCCGCGCTTTCTCCCGAGCGACCGCCTCGCGTCGAGCTTGTTCTTTGGCCACTTCTTCCTCCCTTGTCTTGCCTGCCTGAACGGCGAGTGAGGACTTTTGGTACTCCGCCTTTCGTTGCTCGACAATGGACCGGGGATGAGCTGGAGCGCTGACGGACCTGGAGGCGTCCAGTCCGAGACGTTCTGCGGCCTGGGGAACATTTCTGACTGGACTTGGCGATCGCGGGCTCTCATGCGGTTTGGGAGGCGCGAAAACAGGTCCGGTGCCTACTTCACCGAACAGGGGTCGGGGTGGCTTTTGTGAATTGGCGGTCGAGGAGATCTTCGTGAACAGGCCGCCTGTTGGGCTCGTCTCCGTACTTCTTTCACCACTCTTAAAGGAACTTTCGGGAGAAGTTTGCAGTTCTTCGTGTTGCTCTTCTGTGACATCCTCCTCCTGGGAGATATTGCCTGTGACTTCTTCGCCACTGTCTTCAACATCTGAGCTAAAGTCGTCTTCCTCGTCTTCCTCATCATCCTCGTGCTCTTCGTCCTCAGCTTCATCTTCGCTCGGGAGCTGTTGTATCGGCTGTTCATTTTGGCTTGCGTTGCTGTTGGATACAAAGTCTGGAGGGAAGGGTGCGTCGTCCGGAGGAGACTTGGACGCAGCCGAGGAAACCGGGGTATCCGCGGACGTGTACCGCGGCTTGCTGACAGGATCGGGAGGAAGGGGGGCCTCTGGAATGTTGTTCAGGTCAACAGACTCGTCGTCACTAGGAGGCTCTTCCTTGATTCTCGGTGCCTCGGGTGTAGTGCCAAAAGTGTTGGCAGGCTCACTCTTCTCCACGGCGGCAGGCGTTTCATCTTTGGCAGTCTTGGTACCAAACAGTGCCATGTGCGCAGGACCAGGGGTTTCTTTGGGGGTGGTAGAAGCCACGCCGCCGAATGACCAACCGGGTGTAGTTGTTTGAGGCTGTGGAGTTGTGGAAGCTTGACCAAATAAATTGGAGATTGAGGGCGCCGGAGTGGCTTTCGACTGTGCGAGCGTGGAAGGAGGAGTGACCAGTGTCTGCGGAATCGTGGGTGCCTCCTGCGACGACAACCTCTGATCCGATGTGGTCTGAGCGTTATCCGACTCGACTTCGCTAACTTCGCCCTCCTCCTCGTCCATTTCAGCCTCTTTATCGTGGGTCGGCGATAAGGTCTTCTGAGGTTCATTCAAGATTTCCTCCAAAGCGCCACCAAAACCAAAACCACTGGGCTCTTTGGGGGCTGGGAGGTCATCCTTTGCGCTACCGTCACCTTGGAATGACGACCCTAGTTTGAACGACCCAGTATTGCCAAAAATGCTTTGTCCAGCTGTTGGCTTCACTGAACCAAACGGAGATGCAGTAGACTGCTCCTGGCCAAAAGTGCTGCCAGATGACTGTCCAAAGATACTGTCCCCAGACTTTGCGGCGAATGGACTCTGAGTAGGCTGGTCCGTCTTGCCTCCTGCAAATGAGGAAAATCCACCTCCTTTGGAGAATGAAGCGAAACCAGGACTCCCAGAACTGCCTGCAGCATTAGCGAACGGACTGGAAGTTGAGCCAGCTCCGAACGAAGATGGCTGTCCGAAAGCAGGCTGCCCACCTATCGTGGACGGCTGCCCGAAAGGTGTAGGCCGACTGCTCAGGGCACTTGCTGAGCCAAACGCTGGCGCCGGTGCGCCGCCAATAGGAGTGGCTGACCCGAAGGCAGGCTTGCCAAAGGCCGGACCAGATGCCGACGCGCTGTTTGTAGAGCCGAACCCAGCAGTAGCCCAAGAGGGCTTGTCACCAGCAATGGGAGAAGAAGTACCGAAAGGTTTGCTACTCGGGGCGCCAAACGCAGATTGCCCCGCGCCAGGCCCAAAACCGGTCATTGTAGGCTTCGCAAAAGGACTGGCGCTGCTGGCCTGACCGAACGTACTGCTCGGTGGCGCAGGCGACGGTGATTGGGACTGAGATTGTAGCGCAGCAGGTTTCTTTAAATCGCGCACGGCTGCGAGACCAGGAAAAGTAGTCTTTTCACGGACCGAGTCGTTGTATATGACCCACCACGCAACCAAAATTCCTTCGTTGTTCAATATCACCAGGCCAGGCACCGGCCCTTCAGTCTCCAGGATCTCCGCATCCGCCGGGATTGGATTTGGGACCTTCTCTGTACTTGACAAGTCGAGGGCCATGCCAATGGGAGATGTATCCAGCATTTCTGACGAGAGCGGGAGTTGGGCCCGTCGCGTATCATCTTCGACCGTGGTGAACGTGAATGCTGCAGTAATTGGATCTTCCTTGGACAAAGGCTTGTCCGTCTTCGAGATGAGACCAACGTCCGTAGAGGTGGTAGCAGTGACAATCAACAAATCTTGCAGGTGTGGTGGAAAGCTTCTGAGTCTTGATATGAAATGCGAAGATGGTAGTCGTTCGACGCCAAAAGGTAATAGAACTTCGGGTAGTTTCTGGAAAGTGTAATTCGTGGTTTTCGGTTCCCGGTGCACGATGTAGTACTCGGAAGGCAGAATCCCTTCGGCAGTGCTACTTGGTGTGTAGATGATGAAGAACGTGTCATTCTCCAGCCATGAGATCCCAGAGACATGGTCCTGAGAGGGTACTGAAGTAGACTTTGGAATCTGCGCAACACTGGTGCCATCTGGCGTCATCTGTATCGCGGTTCCATCAGCCATGCCAGCAACGAGTTGTTTGCCTCTGTTGCTCCACGAAAGGCAGCTTGCTCCGCTCTTCAGCACCGGGCCGTTGCTCCCAGAGACCATATTCCCTGCCTTTAGATTCAGGAGCATCAAATCCCCATTCCCTGTGATGATGGCAAAGAATTCCGCCGATTCAGGAACAGGATTCGGGACCAATGCGCGCAAACTCTGTCCGTTGGTTGGTATCCGTACAGCGGGTTCCAGCTGGCCTTGTTGGATCTTATCGACTTGAAATGCTAGAATCTCTCCTCCTTTTTCCGTCGCTATAACCAAGACACTCTCATCGGCAGAAAAGGCAAGGTGTGAAAGCCGCGGTACTGATATCTTGATCTCTGGGGTGAAAGGTCGGATGGTGTCGTTCTCGGATGATTCCGATGAACGGAAGGCGTCTCTAACCTTGGATGTGGAAGTGAGATAGAGAGCGTCCGGACCACCAGCTGCTAGTAAACCCTTGACGGATGCAATCGCGAGAAGCGAGGAGGAAGAAGGGGGCAGATCATCTGTCGGCCATGGTGTCGGGAGAAGTCGCACTTTGGCCTCGCCATTGAGTGCGGTAAAGCCCAGTTCGTTGGTTTGGATCTCCCGCAGTTCTGGCCCGTCCTTCACGTTGACGCCCTGGGTCGACGTTGTGGCTGTACCGAATCGTGGGGCGTTGGACGCCATATTGGAAAAGCTGAACGCCATTCTCAACCTTGGTAGCTCGGTTGACAGCGATCTTTTCACATCGACAGGGGAGGCACTGAACGAGACATGCGGGTTTGACGGTCCGCGTGCGGGAGTGGAAAAGGTGAAGGGGTGTCGAGGCAGTGGAGATGGCCTCCAGAGAGAGGGTGAATGCTTGTGGTCAGCAATTTTGAGAGGCGATCATCTGTAAAAGAACAGCAGTGGTCTGCGCGACGAGACAAATTGGAGGGTAAGAGACCCAAGGTATGTTATTTGCGCAGGCAGATACTCGTAGATGGTTTACAAGGCTGTTGAATGCTTTCGACCTTTTACGCAGCGCGACTGAAAATCCCGCCGCTTGAACATGACGCGCGTGGGCTACGGTGGAGTTTATGTGCAATCGATCGGCGACGCTATAGCAGCAGGTCTGTAACAGGTCTGTTCTCAGTCGTAGCCTTGTCTTCTTCACGTCCATTCTCGATACCTTGGAGTCATAGCTGATGACAGCGCATATATAGAGAGTTTGCTCTCACTAGAAGGCCTGACCTGATATAGAAGCTTGTGCAAACAATCTCATCATCCAGGTTTGTCGCAAAGTCGATGTGATGGATCAGTATCGTATGCAGCACCTGAGCGAGCCAACTATCATTTTCCACATACTCAGAAGTGAGACGGCAGCCTGATGCTTGATCTATTCGCCCCCGGCCACCAGGTCTATCTTGCTGGATTGGCATTCTCGCATATGTGCGCTCTCAACACCCCATACCCCCATACTGTGGTATGCCGCCTCAAGATCGTGGCATATGATGAACCGTGATCGATTGATTGATCGATCAACAGCTTTGATTGCACAGAGGAACTAGTTTCTTCGGACTCTTGATTGTGGGCCTTCCCTGTTCCTGATTATCTGTTCTCACGGCTCAAACTCCTCGAAGGGTCTCACGAGCAGGCCAGATCGTGCGAGATACTCTTTAACTTGGGCGACAGTGTATTCTCCACGGTGGAACTATGTCATGAAACACAATGGTCAGTGGTCGCCCAGAAGATCTTGTCAAGCATACAGAAGGTGTCACGAATATAAGCTCAAAGAAGGGCATATCTCCAATGTGATGCTGAACGAAGGAACTCGAGAGATGGACTAGGGGCTTGATTGGAACTCACCATTCCTGCACCCAACGCAGCATCGACATCCGTCTTCCTAAACACTTCCTCGAAATGCGCCGGGTTTCCAGCCCCCGAGCTAGCAATGACAGGCACGCCGACGACACTCTTAACCAAGCCGACCAGTTCGAGATCGTACCCGCTATTCTGCCCATCGCGGTCGATGGCATTCAACAAGATCTCGCCGGCGCCCATGGCCTCGACTGCCGTAACGAGCTGCACGACATCGAGATCGCGTGTCTCGCGGCCGCCCTTAATGGTGCACGCGAACCACACGTACTCGCGGCCCTGGGCATCAGGGTTCGACGTGCGGGTAGTGTGGTGCGAGGTTTCCGAGGGAGACGAGACATAGACACGTTTCGGGTCGACGCTGACGACGACGGCCTGCACACCATAGGCGGCCGAGATGGTCTCGATCCCGGTCTTCCCCGACAACTGCTTGCCCGAGGCGTAGTATTCTTCTGCGGCCAGGACGGCATCGCTGCCTATGGAGACCTTGTCGGCGCCGCTGGCAAAATAGAGCTTGGCCACGTCCAGCGCCGACACGGCCTTGTTGGTCGCCGGGTCCACCATGTCGCGGATGCCACCGCCGATGGTCAGCGGCACGAACACGGTTTCGCTGGTGCGCCGCAGGATCTCGAGCATGGGCAGGTCGGCCACAGGGCAGTCGCGAAACGACGTGATGTTGAGGAATGTCACCTCGTCGGCACCCTGGGTGTAGTATCTTTTGGCCATCTCGACCGGCTTGCCTAGGTTGCGCACCTGCGACCCTGCAGCTTTCTCGCGCACGTCGTATTGGTCGCCTTTGGTCACGACTAGATCTCCGGCATCGTTGGTGCGGACGTCCAGGCATGCGATGATGCGCCGTGTCAGGCCATTAGCACCTGTGTCTGAGGGCAGCGCACCGTTGGTTGCTGATGATGATCCTGTTGGAAGCCCCGTGGGTGAGGGTTCTGACCAGACATTGCCTTCGAGAAAGGCCTTGATTACCCTGAGGCCCGCGGCGCCGGACTTCTCGGGGTGGAATTGTGTACATAGCACATTTCCCCGGCCAATTGCCCCTACGTATGTCTCGTCACCGTACGTGGCTGTTGCGACTGTCCAGCCTTGCTTCTCCAGCTCCCCAGGCGTGTAAGGCGCAAAGTAGCTGTGTACGTAATAATACTTACTCGTAGGATTGAGCCCGTAGAAGCTCTTCCCGGTCGCTGTGGAATCTGTTGACGATGCAGATGCAGATTGTTCGTGGAGCGTAGAAGCGTCGTTCCAGCCTATGCACGGAACCGACTTTCGGGATCCGTCTTTGTTTTGGGGGCTGAAGCGCCGGAGGGATGTCGAGATCAAGTCTAACCCTGACACCAATGGAGCTTCTTCAGAGCCTGCGAAGAGTGCTTGGAGGCCCACGCAGATGCCAAAGAAAGGCTTGCCGGAGGCGATATGCTCGCGGATGGCGGGAAGATAGTTGGCAGATGATAACGACGTCAGACAGTGTCCGAAGTGGCCAACGCCGGGTAGTATGATTTTCTGGAATCCGTTAGAAACCAAAGCTGCGAATTAAAGGATGATGCCAGTAAACTTCTGAGGCGCAGGGGGAACGGGATTTCGTAAACAAGGTGAAACATGAGACCGAAAAGAAAAGGCTAAATCTGTCGACTTGAAGAAAAATAGCATGGCTGCCGATCGCAGAGAAAGATCTCACCACCCCATTCCGCCACCAGATGGGACATGATATGGGACATGATCGCAAATCTTGTCGGACTTACATCTGCGTTCTTCACGTCCTCGGGACTCCTGATCCATTCAACTTCATACCCGCACTTTTCGATGGCATTGACAAGAGAACGGATGTTGCCCGCCACATAGTCAAGAAGATGGACCTTGGGCATGTCGTTGGGCGGTAGTTGTTTAGCGACCGTGGTCGCGATAGTCGACTTCGTTGATGTGATATTGTCAGGGTGAGTTCATATTCAGTGCCTATGCCGGTATATGGTCAACTTGCAGTTGTCTGCGACACTTGTCAACCTGAAGGCACAAGGAGTTCCCTTGCTAAATCAAGTCGCTGGAAGACGAAGTTGTGAGATCAACAGCTGGGATGATTTTTTGATGGAGATTTTGTAGCCGGATTGGGAAATGACTCACGACCTGCGATTGGCTGCAAATCGACGTCCTCCAACATCCCAACGGCGACGGCAGTAAGTCATAATGGTCAAGATACAGCTACAAACCCCAGACGAGTGACTACTGTGTTCTGTGTGCATGTCCAACATTGACGGTGAAGGCATTCGTGTGTCTTTCTATCCATGCGTGGTGAAACCATCGCCTTTCGCAATCTTCGACACAAGCGCATCCCAAAACCCAATCCTGACCAACGCCCGCCAACCGCGTCAATTCTACCAATCATATTCGTACATGGTCAATTCAGAATCCCTAGACCGCTGTCCTCGTGTTCTCAAAAAGTCATCCTAGATATACATACAAAACACTGATTCACTGCGTGGCGGCTCGAATGGCCTGCAAGAGCAGCGCAAAAATTAAGCCTCTCGCCACAGGCTCAAGTTGAAGACAGTCGAACACTTTGCCAAGAGCCTCTCCACTGGCAGCCGCTCCCATCACGCTGGTCAGGGCCTGTGGCATACCTCGTTCAATCAGCATCTTGCGTGCCTTGACTCGGAGATTCTCCTTGTCTTCCGCCGACATCTCCTTCGGCCACTTTGCCCGCTCTTCTTCTGTCGGCAACACATTCTCTCGGAGCTTGTTGATGTGCGCTGCCCGTCCCTTGTCGGAGAAGTTGGCCTCAATCACACCCTCCTGCAGCAGAGTCCGGATCGAATCCAGTTGTGGATTGTTGGGACGCAGAAGGAACGTCCTAGCGGCACCCAAAAGCGACAATCGAATCGACCATGCGCCCGACAGTGAGTACAGTTCGGTCAGTACTGCAAAGAACAACTCGATCAAAATGCGCGTCTCTTCGTCGGAAAGAGGTGCATTATGTCTGGCGTTCCTCGGAGGAAGCTTGGGAGGCATGCTGGGGGCGGGAGTTTCCATCTCCACCGGCTTGAGTGTTTGCGCCGGCGTGGATGGGTTCGCGACAATCGTGTCTTGTCGTGGCCGAGGAGGCGTTTCAGGCTTTGGCAGCGTGATGGGCTGATAGTCGTCAGAGATGACACTTGGTGGTGGAGGCATCGATAGCATCGCCTCCGATGGACGAAGAGATTCGTCTAAACTGGAGGAAATCCTCGGTTCCCGAGCTGGAATTGAAGGACTCTGCTTGTGTCTACTCGGCAGCGGCGGCGGCTTCACATCGACGCTGTCGGTACTGTGTCTGGGCAGCTCTTGACTCTGTCGAAAGCTCGGCGTGCTTGACGCGGTATCAGTCCTTGATAGTTGCTGTGACGGACGAGAAGCGGACATGGATTTCTTTGGTGCACCCCCGACGCCGGTCGTTACAGCACCGAAAACACCCTGCACCCCTCCAAGCACCGCCTTCCCGCCACCGGCGATGTTTTTCCCGCCCTGGCCGAGGACATTGATGAAATTCTTGCCCACATTTTCTAATGCGGCACCACCTTGAATCAGAACATTTTTAGTCTGCGCCGGTGCCTTCTGGAGGCCAGTCTCCTTGTCCAGGAATTTCTTCATCGCCTCGGTCTCAGCCAAAGGTTCAAACCTGAGACAAAAGCGCAGATAATTTTCCAAATTCTGCAACAAAGAAGCACTTGTCTGGCCCTTCCAGCCAGGGAGGGAGGGATATTTCTGGCCAAATTCGGGCACGCCAGAAAGCCGAGCAATGGTGGTTAGGGTCTGATGGAGAGGCTCAAAATCGGCATATCTCCGCGTGACCATCCATCCTGGAAACCGGTGCGAAGCTGGCTCGATCTGTAGCATGTACTCGCTGTTGGGCTTTTGCCTGAAAGTAGACTTGTCACTAATGTCCCCCAGATCAATGATCGTCAGAGAGGCGTTGTGTAGAGTGAGCGGTACGGCGACCATCGCTTCCACAGGAGCTGGTGCATTTGACACAGGCTGTGGCGGCGGCGTAAGAACAGCTTCCGGCAGCTGATCAAAATTGGTGAACGGAGTAGGCTCCTTTTTCGGACTCGGAGTGCTAGAATGGACCGCGTTGCCATCAATATCGAAAATCAGCGAGGATTCCAAAGACTGCTCCCCATGTCTATTTCGGTCACTATCCGAAGAAGTAGGGGTAGCCAGCCCAGCGTCTGTTGTGGTCACTGAACCTGTCTCCTCAAGCTCACTCGCAAGTAAGCCACGCTTGCGTCTGGCCTCGTCTTCTGCAATCATTTCATTCAGTCTCTGCGCCTCTCTCATTGCTTCTTGCATGGCTTCCTCAGCCCGGCTGACACGCCTACTATGGCGTTTCTGAGTGACCGCATCTGGGTTTGTCTCCGAAATAGCCTCAGTCATGTTCTCGACTCCGGCATCGATGGCATTCATGATCTCAGGCTCTCCGTCCTGTAACAGGTAGATAATCCAGCCATTGATCCATTCTGGCTTGGAGCAAGAGTTGATAGTGGTTTCGAGCACCAGGCCAGCTAGAACCTCGCGCAAGAATGTCCTGACTGGAGTACAGTTGTATGACTTTGACTCGAGAAAGTTCTGTAAGATGTCATCGGCCACAAGGTTGAGTTTGCGTGTCTGTTGATCTCTGCTCAGCACGTTGGCCAGGTTGCTGTCGGGTTGATACCGTAGGTATGTATTTATAGCGGTCTCGGCGTCCTGGTTTTGCGAAGCCTTCAACGCGTTGCCGAGTTCATTCAAGAAAACGATCACGATTGAGGTGGAATTCGATAGGAAATCAAGGAAGGGGTCGGCCGGTCGTTTTCGAGAAAGGTGGGTTGAGAGAGAGACAATAAAACCCGTCAAGGTCTGCTTACAACTCGCCGGGAATTGCCGATCCTTTGGAAGCAAGGGACTGTACCACCAGGTCACGTAGTTTCTTACAACCGCGTCCGTCAAGTTGTTCAGGGCTTCTCCGGTTTCCGGCTCGAAGTTGGAATAATCCAATGCCTTGGAGGCCGACTCAACCTCGATGTTGGCATCGTCAGAGACTGCTTCATCTCCCTCCTTTGTCCGTTGCTCCTCCCGCCATCCCAGAACACGGTGTGCAACTTCTATTCCCAGCTCTTTCCTCCGGCGATTGCTATCGCGTTTTTCCGGGTCGGGTTCGCCGCTGTACTGGCTTTCCCATGTTGCATGGAGGACAACTCCTCCGACTGCGCCGATCAGGACGAGGCCGACACGGCCTAGAACAAGGTAGGTAGAGGCACATAGGCCCACGGCGCATGCTCCCAGGGTTTCATTGCTTGCATTGGCGAAAAACCTAAGGGTGGCATCTATCGCGCCGGACGCGGTGACTGTAGGTGCGGTTGTGGTCGGCGGAGTTGGCTCAGGGAGGCTCTCCGAGACCGCCTTTGTACTCTCGGCGAGTTGGACGTGGTCAGGTTCCGCTTCCATTGTTGTCATGGCTCATGATGGCTCCAGTGCTCTGATCATGCAGTTACGCCTCGTCAGCTACCATAATAGTACTCAAAGGAGGACAATAGATATGAGTCGCATAAGCCGGCATTAACGCGCGCTGAGTTACAAGGAAAGGCCGCGCGACTCCTTTCAAAGCATTCTGACGCTGCTGTAACAGAGATACACGCTAACCACAACAGGTCTAACCTTCATCTGCTCTCCAGTCCAGCTACGTCCAATGTTGGGACTTTCGTCTACTACGCGGTAACTGTAGTTTGAAAGAAAAGAAACATGACACGGGAGACTGTGATAGAGTGCTATCGATTGAGAAAAGAGCAGAATAGTCTTCGGGTCTGACGGTCTCATCTAAGTGGCGAGCGTAGGCACTCCAGACAAGGCTGGATCGTGGAACTAACCAAGCTTCCGCCGCTTTAATAATGCAATAATGCGGAGGTCACTCACCGCCTTCATTTCTGAGATTCCGGCCGTTTAAGATGATAGTAATAGTAATGTAGTGACCGGCAGAATGGACATTTTGGTGGAGCCAGTCCAAAAAGTTTTGGGAGCACTACAAACTCTGAGGGTACCTAGTGTTTACTCTTTACCTCTAGGACTAAACTACCAACAGTGTTATTCGAGAGACTCTAAAGTCCTAAGTATACTCTCTGTTTCTAACAATGGCGACCGAAGTCTGTTGCAGCTGCCACGAGCCGCTCCTCATCGACATCGAACCGGACAGCGACGTGGAAGACAGCAAGGCTGCTGCACAGGTGCACAGTGTACCTGACGACGTCGAGTTGAGTTGCGGATGTCATTACCACTGGTGAGTCTCAATAAAGTTGCGCCGGAGAGTGGCAAGATGAGTAGGCAAAGAAACTAAACATGTCTGTTCCTGGTCACAGGGAATGCTTCTTAGACGCCTACACGATCACGCAATGTCCCAACTGCGCCAGAGACATCTCATCCTTGTCCTCGAGCGGGTCCCAACAGGTTCTGGTCACGCTGCGCAACGAAGGAGGTGTGCAGGAGGGGTACGACATTCTCCCAGCGGCCACGGAAGAGGCGTACTTGCGAGCATACCCTGAAGAACGGAAGGGCCATGCGTTCCTGGAGTTCTGTCGGGAAGGGGATATTGATGCCATTATCCACATGATCAAAGACGAAGGCGAAGATGAGGATGAGGAAGAGCAAGAGCAAGAGCAAGGCGGTCATTCTGATGTGCTGAGGTATCGAGGCACCTTTGAAGGCATTGAAGGCTCGGGACTGCACGTCGCCATCCGCTATCAGCAGCAGGAGGTGGCATGGCTGCTTCTTGCGCTCGGCTCACAACTCGATTGGGATAAGTTCCCTGCTGTCGTTCTCCAGGCGATGCAAGGCCTGGGGTTGAGCAAGGAAGACAGAAATGGAGAGCCAGATATTCGAACACTGCAAGATAATGACGGACGAACACCTGCGGCACTGGCGAAAGAATTGGGAGGGGTCTGGGCCGATTGGCTCCGTGAAGGCCGCTTTGATCCTTGATCATAGACTGGTCAGGCCATCTTTATGCGGCTTGAAAATGAATTGGTTTCTATTTCTCTGTCTGTCTCACACCAAAATTCTCTATGCGACCAAAGAGTAGAGGGCCGCTAGAGATCTAAAGCATAGGAGTGAAGTTTTGTTCTCCGGTATCCGAGTGAATCATAGCACCATGGTGGTGTTTCATGCCTGATGCAAAGAAGATGCCGGGTTGTGGAAATCAGCGCAAGGATTGATCTTGACAGGATTTGCGATACGCTGAGAAGGAGACAATGCCCAAAAGAAGTCAACAAGCCTTGGCTTGTAGCATCCACGCTTCCCAGCGGTCAGAAGCTCAGAGATAGATAAAGCAAAGTAAAGCATGACACGCTTTTCGCCGGTAGTGTTGCTGCTACTGCCCGCTGGGGCTCTCATGACCTTTTGTTGTCCGGATGGTCTCGCAGAACATACTTGGTATGAGTGCCGTGTGCAACCACGGTCTTGCCCTCTCCTTCGCCCTTGTAGATGGTGACGGTAGTAAAGGCCAAGTTTCTGCCCACCTTGTTCACATTGCCCTCGATGGTCAATACATCGCCGAGTCTTGCAGACGAGACGTACGAGACATGGATGTCCGTGCTGACTCCCGTCTTCTCCAGACCGGTACTGGCGATGGCCATTCCGCCCGCCCAGTCGACAATCGTCGCGGATACAGAGCCATGAAGGCCGCCCTTGGAGTTCAAGTGATGCGACGTGACGGGCAGAGAAGCTGTCATGGAGCCGTGGGTAGCACTGCTAAGGACAATGTCTGAGAACAGGAAGTTGTAGATGGGGGAGTTCTGGGAGATGCGTGCCCAACATGCTTGCACGCTCTTGAGGGGTGATGTCGTAGACTCGAAGCTCATTGTGAGAGATAGAGGCCTGATGCAGTGAGGGATGTCACAAAGAACAAAGCTCTAACTGGACAGAGATGCAAAACCTGGCGCAGATTCACGCCAGGCAGAATCAATTCCGCACACACCGCCTTCAAGTTTCGTTTTCAGTCCGTAATAATTAAACGCAGGCAGAAAATGGAAAATGCGGCTCCATAAAATACCTAGCAACCCATCGAAATTTTGTCGATTTCGTACCGAACAAAAAGCCCGCCATCCCGTCCTTCTTCTACGGTTCGAGTTCCATTTCCCTCGTCCCGCCTGCAGTGCAAGGTTAAAACAGAAGTCATGAGTAAACACAAACTCGACGAAGGGGCCCAATTGGCCAAGCAAGACAAGAAGCGCAGGAAAAAGGATCGCAAAGAAGCCCTCCGCGTTGAAGACGTTACGCCCAGTTCGACCGAAGCCACCGCCAGTTCGACGCCCGCACCGCAGCCAGAAAACGAGGACGATGGCGCAACCTACAAGCCCGACCCATCTCTCAACTCGCTGCCGCAATCTTCAGTAGACGACTTCTTCAAGTCTGAATCCGTGAGGATTGACGATCCGAAAACCACAAACCTCCGGCCAATCCTGGCATTTACGCACCTCCCTTCCGAGCTCGCGACGCAGTTCAAGAGCATCTTCTCTTCTTTCGACAAGCCTTCGTCAATCCAGTCCGCGGCTTGGCCCTTCCTTCTGTCTGGACGAGATGTCGTGGGTGTCGCCGAGACGGGTAGCGGGAAGACGATCGCATTCGGGCTGCCGCTGGTATTCCGTCTGTCGGCATTGAAGAAGAGAAAGGGGATACGAGCGGTGATTGTCGCACCGACGCGAGAACTGGCGATCCAAGTTTACGAGCAAATCGACAAGCTGTGCAAGACGGCCGACAAGCTGAAGCCCGTGTGCATCTACGGCGGAATGAGCAAGGACGAGCAGCGCCGGTCTCTGCAAGGAGCGAACGTGGTCGTCGCCACTCCTGGAAGATTGAAGGATTTCATGTCGGACGGCACGATTGACGTCTCGAAGACGCGGTACCTTGTCCTAGACGAGGCCGACCGTATGCTGGACAAGGGGTTCGAAGACGATATCAAGCATATCATCTCGCAGATGCCGTCGTCGAGCAAACGTCAAACGGCCATGTTCACTGCGACCTGGCCCAAATCCATCCGAGACCTTGCGGCGACTTTCATGAAAGATCCGGTCAAGATCACCATAGGACGCAACGACGCCGATGACTCGGGCGAGCTTCGTGCAAATACCCGCATCGTGCAGAAGGTCGAGGTCATGGACGGCTTGGCCAAACAACAGCGTCTCCTACAGCTTCTGAAAGAGCACACCGCTGGCAGCAAGCGCAACGATCGCATTCTGGTGTTCTGTCTGTACAAGAAAGAGGCGCTCCGGATCGAGAACTTCATCCGGAGTCGTGGCTTCACTGTCGCCGGTATTCATGGGGACATGTCGCAATCCGCTCGTATCGCCAGTCTGGAATCTTTCAAGTCCGGCTCCGTGAGCCTGCTTGTCGCCACCGATGTTGCTGCGAGAGGGCTGGATATTCCCGAAGTCAAGCTCGTCATCAACGTGACTTTCCCTTTGACGGCCGAGGATTACGTTCATCGTATCGGCCGTACTGGTCGCGCCGGTAAGGAAGGACTAGCAATCACCATGTTTACCGAGCAGGACAAGCCCCTCGCCGGAGCCCTGATCAACGTGCTCAAGGCGGCGAAGCAGGATGTTCCAGATGACTTGTTCAAGTTCGGCACAACAGTGAAGAAGAAGCAGCACGATGCGTACGGTGCCTTCTATCGTGAAGCAGACGAGGGGAAGAAGGCCACCAAGATCACATTTGACTGATGTCTGAGTATATATTATGATATATCTTTTCTCCGTTCGTGCAGATAGTTCCGGCGTTCGGCACTGTGTTATGTCTTTGTGTAGGGACGTTTCACCATTCCTGGGATTTTGGCAGCAAGGCGTTGTGGCACGATAGACTCGAGCATCTGAAACAAGAAATCTCGCTCGGCCAGGAGTCTAGAATGGGTTGAATAAAATGTCAATAGCCACTTCTTCGAACATCGGCGTAGACTGAGGACGAGAATATGGGAGCACTTACATTGTCGAGCCCAAGAGTACAGTCCCTGCCACCAGAAATCCCATGAATTGACGGTTCAACTCTTCCCCATCGCTTTGGGCGGTTAGCAGGTTCATCCTCAAACCCGCAACCACTAAAGCAGTAACAGCGAGTGACGAGGTTGCTGGAAGCGCTTCCTTCAGAGTCTCCTTCTGCACAGCAGCCGAATCCTTCGCCTCGTCCTGTATCCAGCCTCTGATGAAACAGCCGCTCCAAACAATCCTCAAGACCATGTTGAACATGTTTGCGCCAACGAGGCCCGCTGCCCCAAGCTGCAATGTCGTCAACATCGTCCACGCCGCAGCACCATAAATCCCCGTAAACAACAGCATCCACAACGACTGTGCGTGAAGTTGCGACGTCGTGGCTGCGGAGGTGACGAATGCATCGAGGATCCCATTCACGGCCATTAGCGGGATATAGTAGCAGTAAGTGGACAAGAGTGTCGACGTGGACGCGGTATACCAGTCTGCGCCGATGACATGGCGGACGACTACGGGCAAAACGTACGGCGCGATACTGACCAGAGGCAAGGCCATAAGCATATACAAGTGCAGTGTGTTGGCCAGATATTTGAGCGCCTGACGCTGTTCTCTTGACATAGGACTCTTCTCCGCGGAAGTCGTTCTGCTGGAGGGAGCCGAAAGCAGTCGGCCGAAAGTGTTGCGGCTGCTCTCCTCAACAGGCTGAAAGACCAACCTTGCCAGGAGTCCGCCGTAGTTGGAGGCCAGTGCGAAAGCGCCCTGATCGGCGAGAGTCGACAAGAACGATAGGATCAGCGCGTCGCCTTGCGTAAGCAATAGCTTGAAGATCGATTGCATGTACATCGTTGCCGCAAGCGAGAGAAGACCGACATGGAAGAGATTGGCGTAGTAGTATGTTACTTCAGGCGAAGAAGCGGCTGCCACTTTCCGGGGTGTAAGACTGAACCTCTCTTTCTGAGATATCTGGATGGTTGGAAGCAGATAGAGAGCAAGCAGGATGACAGCGTAAGCGGCCTGTCCGACCGCAAAAGGGAGGATCGAGGGGGCAAGGCCTCTCATGTTTCCAACGAATGCCGTTGAACATGCGGCGATGCATCGTGCAATCGCGGCGACTGTCTCGGCCCGGGCTCGTTCTCGATACAGGGCTTTCTGCTGGATGACCACGAACGCAGGCTCGGCTAGCTGCTCGACCAATGTCGCAAAAGCGTATATCCGGAACGATATGTCGAAGCAGGGGCTGTCCAGGACCTCCTCAGGCGCGCTTCGAAGATAGGAGAGGCCGAAAAAGAAAGAGACGACAAGCCCAAGGAGGACCGCGAGGTATGACAGATTGACGATGGTCTGGGAGTCTTTCTCCTGGCGTGATGTATTTGGAGAATCCTCTTTCGTAGGATCTTTCGTTTCCGGTGTTTGTCGTTGTAGGGCCACTCGTAGACTCTCCCTTGCAAAGTACAAGGTGGTGACAGAAACGAGCTCGAGCTGGACCGCGATTCCAAGCAAAGACGGCGAGAGAAAGCGCAGCAAGAACTGATTTCCGGCAAACGTCAACGCTCGAGACGCGACTTGGATGAAAATCAGCAATAAAGTGCCGCTTCCTGAACGGGCAGACTGATCTGAGTCTGCCATGCTTGGGTGCAGTGTTGTAGCGGCGAGTGCGCTGTCTATCAGCTCCCCAAGTCAGAGTCAGCAATATGGATGAGAGGAGAGCATCTGCAGCTTCAAGTGCTTTGAGACAGCGACTATCTTCGAGTGTCAAGCAAAGAGACCTCCACTATATCCTTGTGTTCACTGTGTACCATACTCGCAGGCGGCCTTTGGACTAGAGTCAGATCAATCGAGGTGTGGTGTATCAGAAGTAGAGCAGTGGGACTGTAAGCTGGGCCACGTGTTAACAGGGAGTTCTTCCGTCAATCACAACATCGACGCAGAAGGCTGCCAGAATAGAAACTGATCTAAAAGGTTTCAATGGTTGTAGGACGCCTGCAGTTTCAGAGACGATATTATGAGCGAAGGGTAGTACATAGTTGGTTTACGGCTTCAGGAAGTTGGGACAGCGAGCACATATGAGGTACCAGGTAAGTTTCGAACGCCAGCCAAATACTAGTATTGTATATAGGTGACAATGGCGGAAGGAGCACTCCTCGAGCTTGTGGTAGATGTCTCGTGAAAGTGCGAGGATGCCATGCTTCTGCTTCCGCTTGGAAGGGTCATGGTGGCAGGTCATTTTCTGTTTGGAATGATCTCCTGATCCCGACATCCTGCCTCTAAAGTGCCAGTCTGCGCCATCTCGATGCTTAGGGTACAGCCAGTCCCAATGCCCCATTGACTCATCCCTCGTGCCTCGACCCGTTCCACGCCCCAGTAGTGATGTTACAAGCGCACCCTCAGCTGTGCCATCTTGAGTCGACCAACATCTACACTTCGTCCACGTCCATCTTCTCCACCACGACCAGACTGTCCGAATCACTGCCACTGCCAAACTCATGCACAGTGACATAGCGGCCAATCTCTTCTTTGGTGATCACCTTCTCGTTGAGTACCGCAGTCGTTCCGCGGGGGAATTTGTAGTCGCGCTCCTTCTTGGCCCGTTCATTTGGCCGGATGTAGTTGCGCAGCAGCTCTGTTGGCTTGTCCTTCTCAATCACGCAAACATCCACGTTGCTGCCTGAGCCCAGATCGTTGAAGATACCAGCCAAGATGGCTTCTGAACAGACCTTGATGGCCTCCTCTTTCGTGCAGTCCCGCTTCCACGTCGATTCGAAAACAGCCATGGCTGCCAAAGATCCCGAACCCATGGTCACGTAAGGGAGTTTATCCGTCGAACCGTGGGCATGAACTGTGAACAAGCCGACACCTGTGGGGTCGACGCCAGCAACAACTAGGTACGCACCAATGTGACCCTGGTATCGGAACAAGTGCTGCTTGAGCATGGTCATGACTGTGACAACGCGAGGTGTCCGGCCTGTGGACAGAGAATGAAGTTCGAGGTTGGAGGAAATGAGGGCGGTGGTAAACTCGGTGTCGGCAGCAGTACCGGCGCCGGCGCACCAGATGTTGGGAGAGATATAATGTAACTTTTCGCAGTTCTGTTGACGGTCAGTGCACATTCCTTCAAGCGGTCGAGGAGAAGCGTCATGTCACGCACCTTGTCAGCAACTATAGGGCCGCTCGTTGCTCTAGTATCTGCCGCGATCTGTACGTTACGTTCGTTAGCAATCGTATGCTAGATCAAATGGTTGAGGGTACGAACCACAACGCCATTGTCGAATATGCACCCTACTATCGTTGTACCGGTACTGGTCGCCTTGGGGAGCGGTACGCCACGTGCGTGAAGAGCTGCATTGCGGTTGTAATTACTGAAGTCAAAGCCGGGCATCGTTGCGGCGAAGGCACGAGGCCTTGGTTTGGATCGGTGAGACTGCGAGTTTGGACGAGGTCGAAGTGCCACACGTACGTACGGAACTAGGCAGGAGGGCGTGATGAAGAGCGCTTTGAGGTCGAGTAGTGGAAATCGAAAGAAGAGACAAGGATGGGTGCGACGGCGTGGCCGTGAATTGACTGATGATTGACTCTGGGACGAAGGCAGCTTTGAGATGCGCAACACTCTGAGAAGTACTAGTACTGCGAACTGCAGGGCCACGAACCGAAGGCACTGCACGTGAGACGCGGCGCGTCTTAGTAGTATCTTGGCAGAGACTAGTCCATTTACAGACTACTGCAGTCTCATTGGCGACGCGGGACAAGGCTGCAAGTCCCCTGACCGGGGATAATGCTACCACTGCTGTGTAGATAGGACCTTGCGTGCCACGATGGACTGACTACCTGTAGGTACGTAGTTCTGCCTTCTCAAGCTCGTCAAAACAGAGACTTGAAGATGAGTTGCGGCAAGGTCGATCATCGACAGCAGGCTTCGGTCTTGCATATTGAACCATCGACGTTTCGTTCGTTTCTGCCTCAGGTGATCCCTGAAGTTACGCTGCTAATCATCTACTCTGACGATCATCTACTCTGACTGTGGTAGCAAGTTGCGGCCTCAGATATGCCCTGGTCCCACACGAGGCCGAGAAAACCTGTTCACTCCACAGCGTCAAAGGGGGCTCCGCGTGCACGAAGCTATTGTCCGCCCACCCCTCACAAAGCGCATCACCATGTTGTCTTACAGCCGAGATCCGCCCCAATACTCGAGTCGAGGCACTTCGTGTGTGCAATCTCGGCCTCAAAATGTATTTCTTCCCCCAAGACTGGCCTTGTCACCACCGCCGTCACCTGTTATGTGTGATAGAGCTGACGCCATGTTCGCTCGTCTGGGTAAACCGTAATGGCCAATACAACGAACCGGCGCTCGTGGCAGGTCGACAGTGTTCATCGATGTGAAGCGGGTAGAGGAGCTGGTGGCCCGGTTTGAGTGATTATGTTGGGTCGCCCGTTTGCGTCCCGGACCCTCATAGCCATTTCGCATTCAAAATTGAAAACCCAGCCATACCCACCGAAACTGGAAGGTAGACCCTCACATTCTTTTGTGTCATGAGTCCTTTTTGGTCTGCTGCATTTGAGAATCCGGGTGTTTTGCCAGATCCTCCAGGGCGTTGAGCATCTTCTCGCGAGTATCTCTGGTCAGATGATCGACATCGGCGGCTGTCAAGGCCTTGGTAGGGATCGGATCCAGAACTGTTCGGGATTGTCAGCTCCATGCCGTTTTGACTACTGTAGAGGAACACGCACCTTTCACTCTGATGGTACCACTATTGAACCTCTTAGCTTTGATGTTCAGCACATGGCTGTAATTCTCGGCCACGACAGGTACTATAGGGACACCGGCCTGTACTGCCAAGTGGAAGGCTCCCTTCTTGAAAGGCAGCAGCATAGGCTCGGCGGAATAACTCCGTGTTCCTTCAGGAAAGATGACAACACTCTGTTTCTTCTCCTGCATCGCCTGAGCGGCTCCTGCAAATGCCTTCAATGCCTGGCTCCGATCCACCCGGTCGATAAACACTGCCCCGGCAAGGGTCATGAACCAGCCCAGAAACGGGATGTTACGGAGAGATTTCTTCGCCGTGATTGAACAGTGTTTTGGCCATATCCAACCCAACAACAGCACGTCAAGTTCTGTTTGGTGATTGCAAATGATGACAATCGGGCGGTTGTTGCTTAGGATCTCCTCGCCGTTGTCCAGGATCTTGAACTTGACCCCCATACTGAACATCCCAACCCACTTGAAGGCCCTAGCCACCGTCCAGAAAGCGTATTTGTAGTGTAATCCCAAAGCTTTTAATATGCCTGAAGCGACCGTTCCGTATGCAGCGCAAGCTATGAGCGATAGGTAGGCGGACATTGAGCGCGCGATGAATCCGAGGATTCGAGGCGGCTTCGGGAGGTAGGCGTAAAGAGCGAAGCAGGTCAACATCGTGAGTGTGTAGAAGCCTAGGAAATAGAGCACGTAGCGGAAAAGGACAAACATGATGAGTTGGCGTAGGCCTGGCACAGTCCTAATGTGTGACAGTGAGAGACGAAGAGACGGGCTGCCCGTTGTAAGTCTGTATACTCATAGCAAATTCTATGATCTCCAGACCAACAACATGGTAAAGCGCCGACGGTGGTCACAAGGTGAGTGCGATTGGATCGTGCCTAGGTACACTTGCCGAAAAGCCTAGGTACGTAGTAGTAGTAGTAGGTAGTATGCTGCACCGTCTGCAACTTCTAGTTCTGGTTTAGCCGCCCGCCGCTTTACTCCCCGTCGGCTCACCTTCTACTTCCGAAACGATCTCTCAGCGCCCCTATTATTCCTCTTTATGCACCACCACCTCCTCCCGTTATCCCATTCCGGGTCAAATCACTCAAGATGAGGGAAGATGGGGGCTGCAATAAAAGTCCTATCAATTGGTAGGGATTCTCCCCAAAGGAGTGGAATGTCAAATACGATAGATACAAAGTCTCCCACAGAAGAAAAGGTATTGCGAGGCTTCAGCCTCAAGAATAGAACAAAAAGTCGCAACTCAATCCCGAATCCCCCCAGGCCTGGCCCGATCGTGTTATTCCCCAATCCAGGCCTTCACCGAAATCATGCGAAGTTGAGTGTGCAAAAGGCAAAACCTTCCACAAGCCATCTCTCAAATCAATAAAGAACGGTACGAAGTGAAGAAAAAGAGGTTCTGACGTGTTTCAAACGGAAGAATAAAAGGACAAAGAATTCAAACTGTGGCCCGATAGTCTCTCCAAAACCCCGTTTCGTCGATGGTGCGTTGGAGTGGTCAGCATGAAGCGTCCCTCAGGAGCATGAAGCGTCACTCAGAGTGACTGTGCTGCTTATCAGGCAAGTGTTGTCCAGAGCATATGCGGCGATGGATTCTTGGATTTCGGCAACGGACTGTGATGCAGTAAGCGGAGTCAGCAGGTAGTTGCCGTACGCTTGACAGGCCGAATCCAGTGCTTGGCAATCACTGAGGGCTTTACTCTCAACTTGCGACGTGAGGGCACATGGGAGGGAAAGGACACCATAGGTGCATGTTCCCGTTGTGATCCCTGCAGTGTCGAAAGACTGTAGTGCGCAGAAGGAAACATCGACGTCGCATTGCTGCGTTGGGAGCGCGGTCGCAGCGCAGGTGGTATCCGAGATCTGCAACTCAAAGATGCCCGTTGCGGCGCAGAGCGAGTTGAGGGATCCTAGGAGGCCGAGCGAGTCTTCCAATTCTGAAGTGGTCAAGCTGAATCCGTATGCCGTGTTGTCGCCGTACCCGACGGACCGGACATTGTCCTGACCGATGAAGGAGTTGGCGAAAGCTTGCAGCTGGGCGTCCGAACATCCAACGCAAGTCTGACTCTTTACAACCCACCCCACAACGAGGGGAGAACAGAAATCCACCGATGCATTGCATTGGGGTGCTGCAGTGGTGCTCGTCGCCGCAGCTGATGTTGTGATACTGGTAGTCGATAATGTAGTTGCTGTAGTTGTGGTAGCCGCCAGAGAGCTTGTTGGCAAGGAGGTACTTGTGGACGAGATGGTAGATGTCATGAGAGTGGTGAAGCTTGACGTGCTTGTGCTTGTGATTGTGCTTGCCGCCGGTGAAGCCGCTAGGCTTGATGTGCTTGGAATTGCGCTTGTTGCTGAGCTCGATGTATCTGTGCTTGTGCTCGTTGCCGAGCTTGCCAGGCTTGATGTACTGGAGATTGTGCTTGTCGCCGATGAGGTCACTAAATCTGACGTGCTTGTGCTTGTTGTTGAGCTCGCTAGGCTTGATGTATCTGTGCTTGTGCTGATCGTTGATGAAGTCCCCAGACTTGATATACTTGTGGTGGTTGCTGAGCTTGTCAGATCTGAAGTGGCTGTGGTTGTTGATGAGCCTGCCTGACCTGATGTGCTTGTGCTCGTTGCTGAGCTTTCCAGGCTCGATGTGCTTGTGGTTATCGCCGATGAAGCCGCCAGACTTGATGTACTTGAGCTTGTGCTTGTTGCCGATGAAGTCGCTAGGCTTGATGTGCTTGTACTTGCGCTTGTTGCCGAGCTCGCCAGGCTTGCTGTACTTGTCGCAGATGAAGTCGTCAAGCTCGATGTGCTCGACGTCGTTGGGATCGTAGGACATGTTGGATCTGAAAGCACGACGCTAATGGGGCCACCCAAGAGATCGCATACCGGGTCATCCAGTTCTCCCAGGTCGACCGCGGCTGATACCTCTTCCGGTGAAAGCCTCAAACCAATTATTTGATTGTCGCCAATGAGGATGGAAGCAATATCAGGACTCAACCCGAGCAGTTCAGGAATGATGGACAGCAGGTCGTTGAGCGTGCATAGCAGACCGCCGAGGAGCGGACAATCATAGGTAGCAACGGAATTGGCCGTGATTAATTCAGAGTTCAGGCAGACATTGATGTTCAGGTTGCATATTGGCGAGGCAGATGTTGTGGTGGCCGGTGCACTAGATGTCGTGCTAGAGATGGTGGTCGAGGTAAACGTTGTAGTGCTTGTCCCAGAGGTCGATGATGTCGAGCCTGCTGTGGAAGTTGTCGAGACAGTGCTTGAAATACCAGCTGAAGTACTAGTTGATGAGTCTGTGGATGCGCTGGTGGAAGAGCCAGTGGAAGAGCCAGTGGAAGAGCCAGTGGAAATACTGGTCGAAGTGGTAAGCGAACTGGAAGTCGAGCCGAGAGTCGAGCCGAGAGTCGAGCCGAGAGTCGAACTGGGAGTCGAATTCGAACTACCGCTTCCCGTAGAAGAACTGGTAGTCAAGACACCAGTACTAGTACCAGAGCCCGTGGAAATGCTAGAGAAAGCACTGGTCAAAGTACTGGTAGAAGCACTGGTAGAAGCACTGGTAGAAGCACTGGTAGAAGCACTGGTAGAAGCACTGGTAGAAGCACTGGTAGAAGCACTGGTAGAAG